TTAAAAAACTTTTTTTGTAGTTGTTGATGGACCTTTTATTTTTTTTAAAAAAAAATATTTATATGTATTGCTGAGGGTTGAACCCAGTGCCTCATAGATTGTAGGCAAATGCTCTCCCACTGAGACACAATCCCAGTTCCTTGTATGGTGTTGTTTTTAAATGAGGAAGATATGGAAAGATCTCTGAGAATATCAGTTAAAAGAACAAGTTGCAAAATAATATGTCCTTTTTCATGTGAAAATAATGTATATCTATGTGTTTTATGTATGCACACGTGCATGACTGACTTTATATATTATAGAGACTTGGAAATAGTCTCAAAGCCTACACTGTGAGTAGTGGTTTTCATTAGGAATCAGGTTGGGTGGAGGGATGGAGTTTTGTTGTTGTTGTTTTGTTTGTTGTTAATTTACATACTTCTAATTTTTTAAATTGATTACAACTAAATATAGGGGAAAATAGAGGAGATTTCAAAACAGGATTTGTCTACCATTCATGAAGATGCGGGAATGGGAGCACTGAAGGAAATATTACTATGTTTAGCTCTGCCTGAGGTCAGCCCCTCCCATTCACCCACACCACTGTGTTCTCATTCCTTGCCTTTCAGATTCTGAATTGTACCACTTGTCTTTTTTTATTTTAATATTTTTTTAGTTGTCAGTGGACTTTTATTTTATTTATATGTCATGCTGAGACTGAAACCCAGTGCCTCATACATACTAGGCAAGCACTCTACCACTGAGCCATAACCCCACTTGTCTTTCTTACTGTGTGTTCTCCTGTGAATTTACTTCTGGCTTATCAAAAATTGGTATTTGCAAATATCAACAGGTTTTTTTTTGTTTGTTTGTTTGCTTTTGTTTTGTTTGTTTTGGTTTTTGATACTGGGGATTGAACTCAGGGGCACTTGGTCACTGAGCCACATCCCCAGCCCTATTTTGTATTTTTTATTTAGAGACAGGGTCTCACTGAGCTGCTAAGCACCTCACTGTTGCTGAGGCTGGCTTTGAACTTGCAATTCTCCTGTCTCACCCTCCTGACCCACTGGGATTACAGGTGTGCCCCACTGTGCCTGGCTCAAATATCAATATTACGTAGATCAGGATGAAAGGTTTTTGTCTACCAAAGAAAATAGTTTGAAAGATGTTGACTTAAGAAAGTTCAGTTTACTTTCTTACTGATTGTGGATGTTTTTCTGTCCATTTTTATTCTGGATGCTTCTTGCAGTGGGTTGAAAGAGTTACAGGTGTTCACCCTTCTTTGACCTTTCCTAACATCTGCGTAATCCTGTATGACAAAGTAATAAATAATTTGGTTAGCAAGCTCGGCGCACCCACAGAGATTGTTGAACAGGTTCATTACCATTTTATACTTCATGAGAGCTGAGATCATGAACTGGTTTATGTATCCTTAGTGTGGACACTGGCTAATTGTATACATTTTACAAACAAGTGTTTAAGAGATCAGAGAAGGCATTCTGCCTACTACAGTCACAGTGAAATATCAGGATGAAGATTCTACTTTTTTGTTTGCTGTTTAAACAAGGTCTCATTCTGTTGCCGAGGCTGATCCTAAATTCCTGGGCTCAAGGCATCCTTCTGCCTTAACTTCCCAAGTGCTGGGATTACAGGTATACTTCATCACGCCCAGCTTTAATGTTGATTTTTTTTTGTCATTAGTTTTATTGCTTTTTCAACTAAGATGTTAAGCATGCAGAATTCCCATTGAAGGCTTAGTCTGAACATATTTCAGTCCTTGATACAGTTCTGACTCAGATCTCCCTGCCTTTTGTAGGTGTTGGCAAGTAAACACCATCTGCATCTATTAAGTTGGCATTTATTGTGATGTGGCCTACTAGTAAGATGTGTTGCTTCATTATTTCATGTTTGTGAATGATCTGATTATTAATGAGTTTGATTGACTTTGTTTCCTTATCACGTTTCCTCTTAGATTTTTTCCTTAGTTTTTGTGCCTATAAAATAGTCTGAACCATATGAAATTGCCATATTTGTGGGTCAAAATGGTTAAACTTTAGTGGTTTGGTTGGTTCATCCTAATGTCTTTAGGACTTTAGTACTTTTCATGTTTTCTCAACATTTTTTTCCAGGTTTTTAAAAGTATTCTACTTGATATAAAATTTTTGAGAAATATAAAAAGTACAAAATAAGAAATATAAGCATATAATACCACGAAAGAATCTTACCATTTTAGTATAATTGAATTTTTCTTTTCCTTTCTTAAAATGTTTCCCCTAGAAATTGTAGACACTTCGTGACACAATTGTTACAAGGTATAAATGAATTATTATATATAAAATGATCAATAACTATATTAGCTATATAATTAAAACGGCTTTTATTCTTCCTCACTATTTTTCCATATTTTTATTGGTGATTATATGTGTACATAATTTGTATATTTGTACATGCCCACAATATAACAACATAATTTGGCCCATATCATTCCTCAGTATTTCTACTTTTCCTCCTCTCCTTCCTCTTCCTGGTCTCTTTCCTCTAGTCTACTGATTTCCCTTTGGTTTTCATGAGATTCTCTCCTGCCCTACCTTTTACTTTTTCCTCTCTAATTTCTACATATGAAAGAAAACATATGACCCTTGAGCTTCCGACTTTGGCTTATATCATTTAATGTGATATTCTCAAATTCTATGCAGTGTCTTGCAGATGACGTGATTTCATTCTCCTTTCTGACTAAATAAACCTACATTGTGTATATATACACCACATGTTTTAATCCATTCATCCATTGGTGCATCCTATGCTGGTTCCATAATTTGGCTATTATGAATTGTGAACATGCATGGGTATGCATGTATCACGATAGCATGATGGCTTTAATTCTTTAGGATAAATACCAGGTCATATGTGGTTTCATTTCTAATCTTTTGAGGAAATTCTTACTGATTTTCATAGTGGTTGTAATAATTTACAAACCCACTAGGTGTTTGGTTTTTTCCTCCACATTCTCTCCAGCATTGATTATTGTTTGTATTTTTGATGACTGCCATTCTGATTGGAGTGAGATGAAATCTCAGTGTAGTTTTGATTTTCATTTCCCTAAATGCTAATGATATTGAACATTTTTTTGTATATTGGTTGTCCATTTGTGTTTCTTTTGAGAAATGTCAGTTTAATTTCTTTGCCCCTTTATTAATTGGGTTATTTGATTTTTAGGTATTAAGTTTGTTGAATTCTTTATATATTCTGGATATTAATTTTCTGTTGAAAGAGTAGCTGGCAAAGATATTCTCCCATTCTATGGGTTTTCTCTTTACATATCTAATTGTTTCTTTTGCTGTGTAGAGGCTTTTTAATTTTGATGCCATCCCATTTAATAACTCTTGTATTCTGTCTCAATATTTACTAAATATACTTCCCATACTAGTAAATATTTTTATAGAAATATGAGTTTTGAGATAATTTAATATTATGCCATATAAACACACTTGTAATTTAACAAACATTTTTCCTTTGCTTTATTTTTATTTTTATTTTTTTTAGAGAGAGAGAGAAAGAGAGAGAGAGAATTTATTTATTTATTCACTTAGTTTTTGGCAGACACAACATCTTTGTTTGTATGTGGTGCTGAGGATCGAACCCGGGCCGCACACATGCCAGGCGAGCGCGCTACCGCATGAGCCACATCCCCAGCCCTTTTCCTTTGTTTTATAATTTAGATTGCTTTCTTTCCTGTTCTTTCCTAAATAATACTCCGATGAACTCATATCTTTGTATCTGTTTCATAAGTACAAAGGAATTTTATGTAAGTGAAATAATTAGATCAGATGAAAGGAATATTTATGTTTTTATATATAGACACAGTATCCTGCAGAAATACTTATTGGTTGCTCCTTTCTCTGGTGATGTGTAAGATCTTTCTTATTAGTCTTCAGTCTGAGTGAGCAAGGAAGGATTTTAGTCTGGATAATTTGACAGTCACAAATAGTCTTCTTGTTTTAGTTTGAATGCTTTTAGATGGTTTGTTAATCATATGATTTTTGGGAGACATATTCATATCCTGTGTGTATCTTTATTGGAGTTGCCATGTTTTCTTATAAGCACTTTAGTGAAATTTGGGTTAAGTTTTTACTACTAATTTTAGTATTTGTAAGTAAATACTTGTATTTGTAAGGGAAAGACCGTGTATTTGTAAGGGAAAGACCGTGTATTTGTAAGGGAAAAACACATTAGTTTATGTACACAGAAAAATTGGAATGTATGTTAGCCAAAATACTAATAAATTTTTAGGTGGTAGAATTTTGGATGCTTTATCTTTGTATTTAGCTTTTTTTTTTTTCTTTTTCCTTTCCCTTTCTTTCTCTTCTCTTTTCTCCTCTTCCTCCCCCTCCCCTCTTCTCCTCTCTTTTCTCTTCAAGACAGTCTTGCTGTGTTGCCCAGGTGGGCCTCAAACTCCTGGACTCAAAGTGATCTTGCCTCAGCCTTGCAGGGTGCTTGAGACTACAGGTGCATGTCACACAGTCCCACGTTTCCTTTTTTCTGTTCATTCTATAATAAATTTTTTAATTATTTATTTTATTTTATTTTATTTTTGGTACTGGAGATTGAACTCAGAGGCAGTTGACCACGGAGCCACATCCCCAGCCTTATTTTGTATTTTATTTAGAGACAGGGTCTCACTGAGTTGCTTAGTGCCTCGCCATTGCTGAGGCTGGCTTTGAACTCGCTACCCTCCTGTCTGAGCCTTCAAGAGCTGCTGGGATTACAGGTGTGTGCCAGTCATTTTCTTGTGATTTATGATTAAAGCACTGGTCTTTCTATCCTGAGTCCTTGTTAACTGCTTCAGGCTTTTTGCGTAAAGGTGAAATTAATTCCTCCCAGCTGCACTTGACTCTAATACAACTCCTGATGCCTGTTCCCGCATACCAGCTCTGTGACCTGTGTTTGTCCAGCCACGTGGAAAGGATGTGGGGTGGCAAGAAACTTGTCCTAACGTTTTTATTTTCCACTGTCGTGGCTAGCCTGCTATGGGATGGATGAAGAGGAGAACCACTATGTCTCACAGCTCAGGGAAGTCTACAACAGCTGTGACACTACTGGGACAGGATTTCTGGACCGAGACGAGTTGACCCAACTGTGCTGTAAGCTTCACCTGGAAAAGCAGCTGCCTATACTCCTGCAGACTCTTCTTGGAAGCAACCACTTTGCCAGGGTGGGTATTAGATTCCATTTTCATGAAGAAGAGCACAGAGTTGTGTAGTTGGCTATTATAGGTATTAGGTAAATATCAGTTGAGGAAAGATACTTGTCAAAGGAAAGTTATTAGCATATGGAATGATGTTTTCCTTCTTTGCCAATCCTACAATTTAGGAAATTCTTTAGGATTACTTTTTTTTTTTTTTTTTTTTTTTTTACTACGAGAGTAACTTTCAGAGGTTTTTCTTGGGAATAGAATGGAGAAAAGTTTGGGTAAGGGGTTACCAAACTTGAATCTAGTAGCAACTCAGCTGGTAAATCATTCAGATATAATTTCAGACTACCTTAGGGCAGATTGTCTTAGAAAATTAACCAACTTGAAATTTATTGAACTTAAATGATACCCATCTTCAAGGTGCCTGTAATTTCATCTAGGCCAGATAGAAAATGGAAACACTAGGAAATTCAAGGTCATCTAGAGTGGTGACCTACATTCTAGACCACAACCTGCTCTCAGTATCAGAAACACTAAAAGGCACCCTGGACCTCCCTTTCTACTTCTTAGAAGTCTTAAATCGTTAAGATTTTTTTTTAATCATTAAAAAAAACAAAAACAAAAAAACCCCAGTAACAATTATCACACTGGTCATTTTTTTTTTTTTTTTTTTTCCACACTGGTCATTTTTGATGAAAGAACATTTTCCCCATAGAATTCAATAAAACTACTTTCATTTTAAATGGAAAAAACTCCACTCTGTAAATTTAGTCATTAATACATAACTCTAATTTTCAAAATAAATATTGTAATATTTGAATTAGCAAGGTTGTTTTTGAGCCTTGCTAATGTTTATTTTAAAGTCCTAGATCTTGCTATTATTAAGCCAGAAAGGAAATATGCCTAAACTTCTTGTAACTACCATGAGGAATTTCCATGCCTGTTTTATATTATATCATTTTGGGGTGTTTTAAAAAAAATACCAGTAGGGATGCTGGGGTTGTGGCTCAGCAGTGGAGCACTTGCCTAGCACATGCAAAGCGCTGGGTTCGATCAGCACCACATAAAAATAAATAAATAAAGGTATTATGTCCAACTACAACTAAAAATATATATATTTAAAAAGGGAGGAGGCTGGGGCTGGGGCTCAGTGGTAGAGCGCTTGACTAGCACGTGCAAGGCCCTAGGGTTTATCCTCAACACTACATATAAATAAAGGTATTGTGTACAACTGCAACTAAAATAATAATAATATTTTTTTTAAATGACCAGTGGGGAGGATCTTAACCTTGAATATTTTAAATTTGGGCAGAGAGACTTCTTCTTAAAAAAAAAAAATGATTCTTAACATAGTGACACTGGGAGTAATTTTAAAGTCAAACATGGCTCTAGAGCACAGATGCAGCCTTTTCATTTCAATGAATGAGTCCGAGATCACATGGAGATGGGTGGGTTGTCTTGTTAGGGCAAACATCTGAATGCCAATGGGGTTCTTTCTGTTTTGAAAGTTGTGAAAGTGAAGGGCATGAGGAAACATACAAGTCCAAATGGTATATATATTGTATGTTAATGGTATATGTAAATTATATTATAACCAGTCTAAAATGGCACCAAACTGGTCTATCATATTCTTCTACTGCCTGATAGAAGATAGTCAGCTGATAATCATTTTATCAAAGATGCAAAGGAAACCTGATTAGATTAAGCAAAACTTGCCATTTTATTATCCATGAATATATACATCAAACATTTTTGAAGCACCTCATAATGTGTTAATCAATACCAGCTGTTAGGAATGCAGAGCTGAGAGAAATACAATTTCTATCTTAATGGGAAATGTATATAGGCAAGGTTATTCAAGATTAGAACTTGTCTTTTCATTTTGGGATTGATTAAATAAATTCTAGTAGGTCCATATGATGAAATTTTATGCAGCCCTAAAAAGAAATGAGACTTCAGCCATTTCAGTGGTGGTAAGTTAGCAAACTCTGGCCAACTTTCCTCATAGGGCAAGTAAACCAAAAATCTCAAAGACAGTAAAGAGCAAAACAGACTTAGCAAGAAATTACTAGTCCAAAAATCCGTGCTAAACCAAGTACCTAGAGAGGTGACCTCAACACACAAAACCCCATTTGCCCTCAGAATATTTTCTGATCATAAGTAAGCAACTGTAAAATTGATCTCAGGGGACTCAAAAGGTAAATATGTCAAAACCAGGTTTGCCCAATGTTAGAATGTGGGAAACCAGCCCCAAATTTAAGGGAGAATCCTAATGGGTAATACCTGTTGGACAAAGATGACTTTCATGTCAGTCAACTTTTGTGCTTCTTTGTGGTTTGGTCTTGTGTCCTCCTCAGAGTCTACATATCCTCAAGCCTTTCATTAAAGCATTGGTATTGCTGTGACATTTGGCAAAGGCAAACTTACTCTTAAGCTCTGAAATTAGTCCTAAGTAATAGCTAAATGCAATGACCAGCATACAGTTGGGTTAGCAGGCACACAACAAACAAATCAGGTTGAGTAAGAACCAACAAAAACAAGCAACAATGGAAGCAGACCCACAAAATCTAAAACAATTATTGTTACCATATTAGGAGACTTTTAAAAAATGAATTTGAAAAGATCCATAGGACTTCTTAGAGGGATGGCTAAGAAATGATATAACAAATCTAAACATGGAAACAAATGAGACTGAAAAGTCTAATCATCCAGAATGTAGCATGAAGATAGATAAAAACAAAAAGATGGTAAAGGGGTAGAGTGATAAGGTTCAGGATTCTTTGAATTGAAGACCCAGGAGGAAAGGAGAGAAGCATTATAAGAAGAGATAATAGGAGATAATGTTCAGAACAGATGAAGCATACCGCTTGGGATTCCAAAAGCCCATGGTATTCCAAAGAGTATAAATAAAAAGAAATCCTCACCTGACTCTATTGTTGTGGTACTGAAGGAAAACAAAGACAGACATGTTAAAAGTGGTCACAGGTGAGTACCCAGGATCTCTTTATTTTTCTTATAACTGCATCTGAATCTATAACTATCTCAAAAGGAAAAGTTTAACAATTTTTTAAAAAATTAGCCATAGAAAATGCATATCCTAAAACTGAACCATAGTTAGATCGATAGCTGCCTTCTCCACTGCAATAGAGGGAAGAATACAGTGGTCAGTACCTCCAATGTGCTGAAAGAAAATAACTGCTGACCTAAGGTTCATTCCTGGCAAAAGTGTCTTCTGAGAATAAAGGTGAAAAAAAAAAAATCCCTCTAGATGTGAGAAACAGAATTCTGCTTAGCAGTGAAAGAACATAGAGGCAAACACATAGGATTTGTTGAGCACCTACAGCAGTCAGCTCATAATCCAGTTGGGCTGACAGAAAAATAATTGTATACACAGGGAAAGTAGCAGCTTGCCATCATGGTGTTAGCACTGAAGTATAACACCGAGGCAAGTGTCGAGTGGAAAGTGGAAGGTTTTATTAAAGGACAGCAGACAAGACTTCTCTCCCGGAGGAAGAAGGGGACCTGAAAGGTGGAATCCTTGGAAGGAGGAGGTCTTTCCTTTTTTATATCTAAGGTCTTCTTTTAGTCCTCCCACATTCCTGTCCTTTATTTCCCTCTATCCTGCAGTGATAGAATGCAGGTGGGAAGGCCCAAAGGTGGGAGATAGGTGGACTGGAGGAGTAATCTGGGCAGGAAGGACCTGGGGACATTAATTAATTAATTAATTAATTAATTAATTAATTTCCTTAACTGCTGTTCTGGTTTCCTGGACTCCATTCGATAATGGTCTCCATTTTCTTTATCTTACTCAATATTAGACCCGATTTACCTAACTACACTAACTACCTATTTTTATGCTCGAATTGAGGACCCCCAAAAGACCACCAGAGACCAAGATCGATGTAAGCAGCAAAGAGGTGTTTATTTCGAGCTAGCTCAGTCCTCTGCAAGCACACAGCAACTGGTGACGCTGAGAGGCCCTGAGCCCAGGGTTTGCAGCAGTTTATACATTCTTTGGAGAAGGCAGGGACCCCCACATACATCATAGCATCTCTTAGCACATCATCACACACCGCGGGAAAATCAAATAACAACTCTAAAACATGATTAACACATTCACTGGCGGGAACAAGTTGGGTAGGGGTGATTGGTTACTACAAGAGGGGGATTCATTTGAACTGATTGATTTAAGCCAAGAGGGGTGTTCGTGCTGAACTACATGGTTTCCCAACACCATAAACTACTGGGAGGATCATCTGGCATCCCAGGTATTTCCCTGTCTCATGCTGATTGGTGGCTGCTAGGGGGTTGCTATGGGTCCCCACCTAGCCTGACTGAGTCAGGGACACCTGGCGCAGCAGATCTCTCCTGATATTTGTAGATAAACAACTTAGCAGGGTGGGAATGTGCCTAGGAGTGCTCTGTGGGTCTTTCCAAGGACAAAGGTGATGTCCCTTCCTTGGACAGGTTTTGCTCTGAGGTAGAGGCTGGTTTTTCACTATCTTTAAATCTGGCTTCAATGGGAGCAACAGAGATATGCTCATTCAAGTTCTTTGCAAGATTTGGAAATCAGAATAACTGCTCCTGCAGCTCTAACATCTGTGGTGCTGATACTGCCAGTTACTGAAGAGTAACTGATGAGTTCTGCTCCCTCACACGTTTAAGTATAACACTGGAGAAGTACGCTGAGGCAAGCATATAAAGCAGGGTTTATTTTAAAAGGGTTTCCTGGTATCCCAAGAAGTGAGAGGTTTTTGCCTTTTTAAAAATTAATTAATTAATTAAGTAGTTGCAGTTGGACAGAATGCCTTTATTTTATTTGTTTATTTTTATGTTGGTGCTGAGGATCAAACCCAGTGCCTCATGCATGCAAGGCAAGCACTCTGCCACTGAGCCATAGCCACAGCCCTGGTTTTGCCCTTTTTTATATGTCCTAGGCTTCCTTTGTTCTTCTCCTTCTCTTTCTCCTTCCTGCAAATGTGACTAGGTTCAGGAAATACTCTGTGGGATGGCCCAAAGTGGGAAACAGGTGAGCTGAAGAGGCCTGAGAGGAGTGATCTGGGCAGGAAGGGGGAGTAATTAACAATTCCCTGTAGGGGATGAGAATCCCTGGGACAACAGGTTGGAGCAGGGTCAGGTTCTTGATAAGAGTGGAGGAAGGGCTCTGAAGGAACTAACATTTCAATCCCTCCAGTCTCTGGATCTGACCCTTGCCTGTCTGCCTAACTCTGGCTTCAGTGCTATTTTGACCTAATAGCTCTTCTGTTGATTTATTTCTGCCTGGGTTTCATTGAAGCATAGAGAAAAGAGCACATAGCAAAATGTTCAGCACAAGGAATATTCCAAACTGAGCCCACCTGTGTGACCTGAACCTTTGCTAATCTTCTTTACTTCAGTAACACTTTTTACCTAAAAATCCATTTTCTTTTATATCAAAAAGATATAAAAGCCCCTGAATGCCTGCTCATGTGCCTTTTGGTCCCTCTGTCACCAGAGGTTAACCACTGTCCTGGCACTAATGTCATAGGTTTGTTTTGCTTATTTCTGAACTTTACATAATGAAAATATACTCTACATACGCAATACATACTCTTCGTCTCCTTTTATTCAATATTATGTCGCTGAGATAATTTCACATTGTTATGTCTATTAGTGGCTTGTTTTTTTCCCCCCAAGGCCATATATTTTGTTGTGTGACACTATTATGTGGTTTATTGGTCCTTTCTGTTTAAATGGGATCAGAATAATTTCCACTATTCTATAAGAATAAATGATATGTTATAAATTGTTATTCTGCTAAGAAAAAAAGATAGCATGTGAAATTAAAACATCTCAGACAAACTAAGAGTTTGGCATCAGTATATATAAGAAAAATGAAATTATAAATGTGATTTTTTAAATAGATGGAAAATTATCCCAGATGCAAGGTCAGAAATGCAAGAAGAAATGAAAAACAGTTTAATTCTAAATGAACATCCACTAGGTGAAATTAAAATTAACATTTTTGACAGTTGAAAATATAAAAAACTATAATTCATGATAACAAAGGTATCAAAGTCAGGAGTGTAGTAAGTGGACTTTTTAAGCATTATGCTTGCTTTGCATTATCAGAACATGGCAAGAGTATTGGTTAATAGTCAATTTTGTGAAACAAAGAATACATTTTGCAAGTTTCAAGATAATTAGTAAAAGAACCGAAAAGACTATATAACTTCTAAATTAATAAAGAGAAAATGAAGTCCTAAAATATAACTATTTAAATATAAATCTAAAAATAAAATCATTAATCCAAAGAACAGAATGAAAAGTACAAGCAAGTAGGTCAGTTTGAAAGTACAAAATAAAGTAGTGATTAAAATCCAAATATATCAGTAATTACATTAAGTATACGTAGACTAAATATTTCAGTTAAAAGATAGTCTAGAAAAAAAGAGAGCTATAATACTGCTCACAAGAGATAATCTGAAACAAGGACATAAATAATTGGAGTTAAAAGTTTGAAAAGATGTGTCATATAAACACTGACAAAAAGAAAGTTGGGGTAATTTTTTGATATAAAAAAATGGATTTTTAGGTAAAAAGTGTTACTGAAGTAAGAAGATTAGTAAAGATTCAGTTCACCAAAGGGATGTAATATATATTCTGTGACCCAGGATCCTGTTCTTAGGTGTGTGCAGTGGAGAAATTGCAAAGGTCATGTGAAGCATTGTTTAAATTAGGGTTTTTTTTTTTTTAAGAGAGAGAGTATTTTTAATATGTATTTTTTAGTTTTGGGCGGACACAACATCTTTGTTTGTATGTGGCGCTGAGGACCGAACCCGGGCCGCACGCATGCCAGGCGAGCACGATACAGCTTGAGCCACATCCCCAGTCCAAATTAGGTTTGTTTTTAATAATTAAACACTGGAAACAGTGGAAAGGTATGTCAGTAGAACAATGGATTGATGGTGGCATGGTTATATAGGAGAATACTATGCAGCAGAGAAAATGAATGAAGTATACCTATACACAGCAACTTAAATGAATATTGTAGAAGTAATGTTGAACCATAAAAGCAAGATAAAAAACAAGAATTTTACAATTACATTTAAATCAAATTCAAAAAAGAGCCAAATCCAAAACATGTTTTTTTAAAACATGGATGGTCTGTTTCTTGATGGAAAGTGATATAATTAATATTTGTTTTATCTGTATTAATGTTTTATAGTCATCAGATTCCTTTTTTATACACTGGTTTCTTTCTAATTTTTAGAATTTTTCTCATTTTTAGAGATGGGTCTCACCGTGTTGCTCAAGTTGGCCTTGAATTCCTGGGCTCCAGTGATCCTCCTCTCTCAGCCTCCTAAGTAGCTGGGACTATAGTACACACCACTGCATCTGGCTACTGTTTACTAATTATGTTGATCTGCTTTTATAAAACTGTGTTTATGTGGTGGTGAGATTATGGTTCCTTGTTGCCTTCTTATTATATTCTTCTATTGTAAATAATCTTAAGGACATATATGATAAGTACACATATGAAAAAATAAAATGAATGTTCTCAAACTATAAGGCAAATAATCAGATGTTTCTGAGGGGAAAAAAAGGCTGTCATGCGGGTCTGTCTAAAGTAACATTGTCCTCTCTTTTCTTAAATTCATACAGGTTAACTTTGAGGAATTTAAGGAAGGTTTTGTGGCTGTGCTGTCATCCACTGTTGGTGTTGGCCCCTTAGATGAAGAGAGTAGTTCTTTGGAATCAGGTAAGAGGGTGTCCTCCTGTCAGCTCTAGTTTCTTTTCATTACTTGTGGCCTGAGTATAACCTAGCAGTTCTGTAAACTAAATTCTAATCCCACTTTCTGTCACTACCAAACTATGTAGACTTGGGCAAAACATTTGGACCTTTTCTCCTTTCATTTCCTCATCTGTAGAGTAGTGGCATTTAATGACATATGCTGTGCCTGCAGCGGATGGCTTCACCAGATCCAGTGTGTAATGGGTGTGGAGGAGGGAGCAATGCAGTGCTGATGGAAGTGTGGCTCTGCAGGGCTCTCAGGGTGACAAACAGGCAGGCTGTCTACCTGCTCAGGACACTCTGGCATCCACTTTGTCACAGATTCTTAGCTTCCCATCACCGTGATCAAAATACCTGATAAGAACAACTTAGAAAATGAAAGACTTATTCTGACTCATTGGTTCATTTCATGGTCAGCTGGCTCCATTGCTTTGGGCCTTAGATGAGGCAGAATGTTAACATCCCCGGGGGTTTGTGGCAGAGGAGAACTGCTCAGCTCATGGAAACCAAGAAGCGGAGAGAAGGGGATAGAGCAAGGGTCAGCGGACAAGAGACAGTCCCCAAGGACACAACCCCAGTGACACACTCTAACCACACTCCACCTGCCTGTAGTTTTCTCCTCCTTCCAGGATCCTTTGAGATCATAAATCCATCAAATGCTCAGAGACATGTGATCTGCGGGGTGAAAGGTGATGCACAGTACTCATTTGTTACCACTGCCCCACTGGATGTGCTGTGGGACCAGTGTAGAGAGAGAGTATGAAATGGTGGCCGGCAATTCCTCTGTGCCCCAAGGCATACTGGTCAGACAGGTGCATGGCTATGGAATTATAGTATTGGGCAGAAAAGAAACTGGCAGGGGACAAAGAGCTTGTGCCATGTGTATTCTGAGATTTGTGTATGTTACTTAGATTCTGTTTCACCCTCATAGAAATCCTGTGGTGTTGTTATGCAGGTGAGAAAACCGAGACCCAAGCTGGAAAGGAATTTGTCCATGATCTCACAGTTAGTAGTGCTGAGGAGCCCCAATTTTCCAGCTTTAAACCCTTGTGCATGGAACCCTGATTATTCCATTGGGTGCTATTTGGTCAGGCTCCCTTCTTACTCCTTGCTGGATGTAGAGACCTTGGGCACAGTGCCCAGAGCTCTAAGGTTACAGGGAAGCCTTCAGTCAAACCGGCTCCACTCAGACCATTTGCATGATCCTGTCTATGCCTTATCTCACACTTTTCTCTCATGCCTTTCCTGACTCACAGGAGTTTGTAACACAATCAGAAATATCAAAGTGCCTTCAGAAAAGTGAGGTCCAGGGCTGGGGTTGTGGCTCAGTGGTAGAGCGCTTGCCCAGCATGTGTGAGGCACTGGGTTTGATTCTCAGCGCTGCGTATAAATAAGTAAAATAAAGATCCATTGACGACTAAAAAATATTTAAGAAAAGAAAAGACAGACCCAGCCCTACTGCTGTGTACTCCCTTGTCTATACCAAACAACTCAGGAAGTCCTCCCTGCCATGTGGTGCTCTTAAGCTTAAAACTCTCCTTCTGTGCCACATGTTCTTCGTTCTTACAAAGAAACAAACTCATTGAGGACCTGTGCTTTTTCTCATCAAGTCCAGTTTTCTTTTGGATTAGAATTTACAGCATGGTCCTATGCCCCACCTGAGACACTGTTCCTCCTGCCAGTGGGTAGACTTCATCTCCTTGTCCTCCTCCATACACCCCTCTCTGCTAGCTAAAAGGCTGAACTAGTATATTTAGGCTGCACATTTTCTTTTTGTGCAAAAGATAGCCCTGAGAAAGACTCGAATCTCTGCTGACTCCTCTGCAAAGACCCTTGTCTTCCTCCCAGCACATGTTCCATCTACTTATTTTACCGCCTGTATTCTGAAAGAAAAATTTCTAACTCCTAAACTCCCTTGATATTTGAGCTATCTTTTAATTTTTAAGCTTATATCATTTTTATAATGAATACAGTGCTTTCAATAAAGAATGACCATTATTATGTTTCTGACTTATTTACAGAATTTTTTTTATTAGTTACACATGGCAGTACAATGTTCTTGACATATCATAAATTTGCCTCAAATATATCAGGTGATATGCAAAAAAATAACAAAAATGTTTATTACAAAAAATCATGTATATAGCAATGGTTCCAAAGAAGTAATTTTTTTTTTTGTCAGGAATAAACATTTGGACAGGAATCAAAGTTTTGGTACTATTTTTATGTACTTTTACTCATAGTGAATAATCTTTACACCATTTCTTCATTTTACTTTTTGGGATTAATCACAATTTATATATCTTCTAAAAGGGCACTGAAGGCAGAAAAATATTAATGGCTTAAATTACCTACATTATTTGATCTTTCACTTTTTGAACAAAAAAATCTACATAAAACCATCTCAATAAATATATGTATCTCTGGTTAAAAAAAAAAAAAAAAAAAAGGCTGAACTGGTGCTGTGCCCTTGTGGTATGAAGAGTCAAGGAGGTGGGTCCTGCCTGTGCTCTCCAGGGTTGAGCCTGGTTCAGCATTCCCCCCCCCCAGCCCTTCTCATTGTGCTCACTGGCCTGCCCATCCCCCATGTGCATCCCATGTTCCCAGTGCTTTCAATCCCCTTCTTGCCCACTCTGTTTCTTGCTGCTGCAGGGCTCTGGTCTCAGGCCCTGCTTGCCTCCTCTGCTGTAGTCAAAATGTCATCCTTTTCCTGATTTTCAGTCTCTTAGCTGCTCCTTCTTGTCACCCTCACTGTGATCTGAAAAATGTGCTTTGGATACTCCAGTGGTATCTAGAGTTTCACGAGGTGAGTATATATCTTGCATTTTGAAGATCACCCCTGCTTCCCGGTCATCTTTCCCCTTTTATTAAAGAAAAGCCAATATTGAACATTACAAATATGTGTGTTTTGCTTTTTTGGACTTTGTTACACTTTCTCCTGCTCTGTGTGTGTTTCCTGCACATAGTGTGCAGGATTTTGGCGGAACGTGTGCTTTCCACTCTGGGCTGCTGCAGGGTGTGTTGGGTCATGTGCCTCAGGTGCCCCGAGGGTGGGACGACCGGAGACTGGCCCAGAGCACACTGGAAAGATACCAGTCCCAGGTGACTTATAGTGCTCCTCACCCCAGAGGGAGAGACCCTGTGATTCTGTGGGGACTAGAGAGCTGTTCCTGGCATTGTTGCCATTGGCCACTCCTCTGCCATTTTGTTTCTGTGCTGACAAACCTTGTGGACTGTCGTCTGTGATGGAGAACCTGATGGAGGGTGGTTTCTTGATGGGCTTCACCTATGAGAACGTTGAGGAGGATTATGAAAGAGCATGGGTCATTCTGGGCAGCTTATTGCTCTAAGTAGCACGAGGGGAGGTTGGGCCGCACCATCCCCAGGTGTGCAGGTATGTAGTTGAGACCCAGGACTGTGGTAGCCTGAGTCTTCTCTGTGGCAGGGGTGGTGTTTCAGGAGGGTCATGAGCACCCCTGAGTTTCCTCACCTTGGATGTGCCAGGGATTTCCACTTTCCATACCACCTCAGGATGCCTCCTAAGCTGATAGGGAAGAAGAAGATCCCTGCCTCCCATCACCAGCTGCAGCTTGTGTGCAGCAGAGACCAGAATCAAAAGCAAGAGCCTTTATTGGTTACTCATTCACCCTTTGGGCAGCTCTTTATCAGGAGCCCTTCTCTACAGTGGTATTCAACCTGTGGACTTTGGTGAATTTTCTCACACATTCTCATTTTCTCTCTACTGACTTGGAAGCTTTTTCTGATCTTTAACATGTCCTATGAGCTGTGTTCCCTCTGGGGAGTTTGCCAGGCCAGGCTTGTTGCTGCCTGTTGCTTCAAATTGTCATTAATCGTGCCTGTGATGACTTTTGAAGTGTCCCACTAGTCACCGCATGTGGTTCCAGCTGCTATCAGTTCAGCATGTCCTAAGTAGGTCTCTGCATCTTCCTCACTAAACCTTGTCTGTGGTTCTCAGTTTCTGTCTCTGTCCCTGTTCCTCTGGTTGGCCCAAGACAGGTCTGCCATGAAGTGTTCCTCAGTTTTCTGGACAGGCCTTGCCTCATTGGACCCATCACTTTCTCTCCAGATATCCCCATTCTGGTTGTTTCTTCCCTCTGTACCCAGCCTTTACCTGCTGTCCTCCCAACTCTCTTTCCTGCCCCACCCACATACACTTTTTTTTTTTTTTTAGGATTGTACAGATGTATAGAACAGAGGTAGGAAGAAGGACGTGTAAGATTTAGGGGATTCTCACAAATCCTGGAACCAAATTCATGGCTGCCTCTGCTCCAGACATTCAGACCTGCTGCAGGGTTGCAGAGAATCTCCTCGCTAGGTCTGGCCCACACCAACCCATGCCTTTCCAGCTCCATGGGGTGAATAGCTGAGAGAAGTAGTCATCATATCTCCAGAGCAGTGTGTTCTTGAGTGATTGGGAGGGGTTTTTTTTTCTCCTTTGCATAAAAAAAAATAGATTTTGTACTTCTTTTTTATTCTATAAACAAAAGCAAAATATGCTTGAAAAAAATGTAAATAGTATATGGAATTTAGTGGAAAGTTCCCTCTCCCTGTTCTGGCTTGCTAAGTCTCCCACCCTCTGGTGTTATGAGAGCCACTGTTAACCATTCATGCATTTTCCCAGATGTTTTCCTGTGTATAAGGGCACATCTTGATGCATACTCTTGTGTCAAATCTATAATTTTTGGAGGGTGTCCTGTCATATGAGTGGGCCCAGAACCCACTTCATAGGTCCATCCCTCACATCTCCCATTTTCTTTTCAGCTGCCTCTTGTGCTGTCCCACCAAAATATGTGAGTGGCTCCAAGTGGTATGGCCGTCGGAGCCGGCCTGAGCGGTGGGACTCTGCCGCTGAAGCCAAATACGTACCAGAGCAGCAAGCCAAGGCCAGCCTGAAGAGCCAGCTCCGACGTTCTGCATCTCTGGAAAGTGTGGAGGTGAGTCAGTCCTCCCTTCCCGCCCCAGGTTGCCCAGTGTTGGGAAACCAGTGTGTCACTTCATCAGTCTCCATGTGATAACCAGAGGATTTGTGGAGGGCAGTCATGTTCCTGGGCATCTTGAGTTGCCTGAAGCTAAGGTTCACGTTGAGAGTAACATTTCCTTCTAATTGTCTTGGGTCTGATTATCTTTGGGGGGAATCCTGGCCACAGAGCATTCTTTTCCAGTTGATACTTTGTTCCCTCCCCTCCTTCCATCACCACCTTCCCTATCACTGCAAGAAGGTGATTTTTATGAAAATGTGCAGAGGGATAGAAATGGGAAAATGCCTTTGACGCAGCCTCAAAATTTGGAATGTGGATGCACCAAAACAATGGTCTTACTTGCCTCAAACACTAAGAATATAACAAGATCCCTCTTGGGGTCTTGGGAGTTGATTCTTCCCTTCTACCTGCCCTGAGCCTTTTGACCCAAGTGTCTGGAATTGGTCAAGGAAATCGGCTCTCCCTGGAGGCAGGTCCACAGTTTTTGAGTTAATCATTGATTCATTAGACCCATATTTTAAGGATTCCAGAAAGTCCTAGCTCTTGTTCTCTCTGAACCAACTTCTGACAGATGGAGCCAGGTTTGGGAACTTATCTTTAATAAGAGTTCTGGGGCCCAGACTGATTAGTTTATATTGTGAACATTTGTTGAGGCAAAGAAAAAAAAAACATACTTAAACATTACAACTCTTCTTTCAGGGGTCTGCTATATCTGTGTAACACTAACAGATCCAGGACATTCCTTTTGTATTTATTTTGAAAAAATTTCTACTCCTGGGCTTAAAGTGCGTCATTTTGTTGGTGCCGTTCTGCTTCTTAAGTCATCTTTGACCCCCCAAAATGTGAATGCAGGGAAACTTGACTCTGAGATTGTTGGTTGAATTGAACTTGTTAGAAAAATGAGATTAACTGTTTATCACCAATCGGATTCTGACTTGAGAGTTAATGACAGCTTTGAAGGTCATTCCAGGTGTTCATTTGGAATCTGTTAGGGGGCTGTGCAGTACTTGTTTGAAGCAGACCCTGTGATCTGCTGACTTGGTCACTGAAACATGAGTTTTTTACTTATATCATGCACTTCTCAATGGCCCTGCCTGCTCTGCTGTCTTAGGTCCAAGCTTGTGAAGGCCACTGAAGTGTCAAGTGCTTGCTATGCATTGTGCTGTCCCCAGAGACCTTGGAGGGATGCAAGGTCTATTTGATGAATGAATGTGGATGAAAAAGGACAGTGCAGAAGGTGATGATGTCACAAGCTCTTTTGGAGATTGTGTCTCATAACTGAAACATTGACTAGTTCCTGTCGAGTGCTGGTGTCTGAAGTCAACAGCATCACGTTGTACTGTTTTAGGGAGACTATTTCTCTTCTGTTACAGTGTGAGGGCTTCCATTTGTTTTCAGTGTAACCTGCTGGTGACTGGTTGTGTTGAGGAGCCCTCAGTGTGCAGAATGAGGAAGGCAACCGTCTTCATGTCCAAGCCCCTCATGTCTGAGAGAGCATTGATCCAGAGGCATGGTACATACTGCTCCGTGGGGACCACACCCTGCTAATCCTCAGCCTAGGGGTGCTCGCTTGACATGCAGCCTCCATTGTCCTTCTCTCACCCAAAACATCCTGTTCTCTTTGTTCTGGTGCTCCACCCACTGTGTTATCCACTGGAGGACTCACATCTTTCTCCTTACATTTTTCCAGAGTCTCAAGTCAGATGAAGAAGCCGAGAGTGCTAAAGAGACTCAAAATGAATTATTTGAAGCACAAGGTAATGTCATAGCATCCTATTTGGTGTTCTCTGCCTTTGACCAGGGCTTAGAAAACTCAAAGAGCTGGATCCATGGACAGGGCACAGCCACAAGAAGAACTTCTTGGGAAATGCATGCTCTGGGTGGTGTTCCTGGTAGACCCCTTCTCCAAGAGCTTTCGGAATGTTGGTATCAAAGCCATGAGGTGGTCACTTGGTCCTCAGCTTTCCCTGATGTTAGATCTTGAGGCAGAAGCCACTGACCAAGAGAGCAATGTGATTCTACCATGCTTCATGGTCTGTGAGTACTGATATGATCTCAACTGGTGGGTTTGGGTCATGCCCAGGACTGGCCCTGCTCATCTTTCCTAGCCTGCTAAGCCTGGACAAAGCTGCTCTTTGATGTGAAGGAGCTGTCTTAGCACCCACCAAATTACTATCCTTTCCCTAGATACAGTGTAAGACATGGTCCTGTTCCTTAAGAGCCTTATGTAGCAACAGAGGCCAACAGTTGGAGTACATGAGCAAATCATAGTCTATTAGCACAACACTGCAGAGCTGGAAAATGGAAGGCTCTGCTGTTTGTGTTGCTGTGGCATTGTCTGTGAGACCCAGAGCTGGGAAAGGAAGCTGGGTGCTAGGAGTGAGTAGGACATGAAATCTAGCCTCACCTTTCTAGAGTGGCACATGTGTTACATGCTCCTGTGGATACAGAAGCATTTTGGAAGTTCATGAAAAAAAACTCTTTATAGTTATCTTTGAGGAGAGAAATGGAAGCTCTTGGGACAGGGACTTCTTTTTTACTTTATCTTGTAATGATATAAGAATATCATTCTAATGATAAGAATTATAGAATGTTAACTGGGGAATGAAGACCAATGACCATGGCAAACATTGTAAAACATAGATAACAGTAGAGTATGTGATGCTGCAGAAGTGAAAAAATGATGATGTAGGTGTGGGAGGAACATGGTCCCATGTCAAACCTGAGGAACTGCCCCAGGAGGGCAAATCTCCAGGCACCTCTTCTCTAGCACAGCCCAAGCAAGGCCCAAAGGTGAGGGACTGAGTGAGCTTGAGAACAAAAGCAAGCTTTATGCCAGGCCTTTAGGTTGTAGAGCTCAAACTTCTTGTGACACTGTTGTAGAGCTTTTCCGAGAAATGAACTGACTAGAGTACCCAGGAAAGGTTTGGAGAAGGTGAAAGGGTAGAATGGGCTCCATAATATGTCCAGGGCCTCTCCTGAGACATGTAAAAGCTGAATCTGAAATTGTGTGAAGGATCACTCACAGGTCTGGGTTTGGGGCCTTGGGTGAAAATTGCCTCAGAGTGGCTGGGTTTCATCATAGCATTTGTCTCAGGGCCTCCAGTGCACATGATCCCACAAGGAAGGCTGGGGTTGCCTCATAGTACACGGGCCAAAAGTCATGTAAGCATCCCTTCTGCCATCTTGGTTGGAACTGTCACAAGACTCCCTAGATTGGAGGAGAGGGGCCACATATTCCATGTTCTAATGGCAGGAGTGTCAAAGAATTCTGAAGCCATGCTTTTAAACTGCTATTGGGGAAATTTGAAAGGAAGAAGACAGGTGTTTCAGAAGAGAGAAGGAGTTAGAATGGGAGGATGTTATGTGCATCAATCAACAGGAAAACTGGACGTTTCAATAGACATGTAGGGAACAAACTGAGGTCCTTAAACTCAGACACCTGTGCAGCATGAGGGAAAGCAGGAAACTCTCGATGTCTTTGAAGAGGACAGTGGTGGGGGGAACTAATGCTTTGGGGTACAGGGCCACAATGATAGGGAGGAAGAGTCTGGAGCTGGCTGACCATAATGGAGCTGTCTTCAGACTGTGGGAGGTCTCTCGCTCCCCCAGTTGATTAAGGAACTGAGAGGTGCCTGTTGGGCAAGTGGATGGGGCTGGCAGAGGTGCGAGACCATCCCAGGAAGCTGTTGGGCCACTGGCTGTGCTTTATCCCATCTGTGGGTTCTGGGCAGAATCTATGGCTGTCAGTGTCCTGCCCCCCCCAAAAAAAAAAACCCTCACCCTTGGGCAGGGTACCCTGTGATTTCCGTCACACTGGGCTGCAGGTCCTTTCCCGTGTTTTCCTCATTTCCCCACATCATTCACAAGCATGTAGGCCTACTATTTCTTGGGGGGACAATGGCCTTCGTATTACTAGTTGCATTAGGAAAGTAATTAATATCAGCGTGGCTCATCTACCTGACAGATCCAGACCACTGAAACAGAACTTGCATTGCTTCAAGTCTGCTTTCAATGGAAGTGACCCTTCCTCCTGCAGTGGGCTGGGCAATGTGGATGGGCTTGTAAAGGGGCATATCTGTCTCAGGATAGCTCACCATAGATACATCCTCAAGGATGCCCCAGTGTCTGTCCTCCTGCACAAGTTTTAAACACATCAGGAAGCCAATCAGCTGAAGAGGAGAGGTTACACATGGCAGTCTTCTCATTGCTGAGCCTGAGGAGCAAGTATGTTGGGCTTCACTATACTCTTCTTTTTGGGTGGGTTTGAGGAGTTTCAAAAATTAAATTGTTAAAAAGCTGGTCTTGGGCTGAGGGCATAGCTCAGTGGTATAGTGCTTGCCTAGCATGTGTGAATCCTTGGGTTCAATCCCTAGCACTTCAAAAAGAGAAAGAAATATTGATTTATGGAAGTAAAAAAAATACTTAGAAAAAGCTGATCTTTTGTTATAAATAGAGCCATCTTTTAAGTACTTGAAGTGGTCAGACTTTAGTAAGCTACCTTCTGAAAAGCTTTCCCCAGGTGGAGCAGATTTTTCCCTCAACATTCTGTTAGGAAATTCTTAAACACATAATGGAAAGAACGGGTACTATGAACCCATGATGTACCTACCACCTAGTTCTACCTGGAAACATCTGTTTTTCAAATCCTGTGTGTGCACCTGTCCTTCCACTGGTCCATCTGATTTCTGAATAAATTGCCAGCATTGATGCGCTTTCCCTAGATGCTTCAATTTGGAACACAGGATTTAATTATTGTTGGCATTTTTCCTACAGCTTTACTTGATTGACAGATTAAAAATATATTTAAACTGCATATATTTAAACTATACAACATGATGATTTGACATATGTAATATACTATGAAATGATTATGTAGCAAACCCTTGCCTCACATAGTTACTTTTGCATGTATTTCCTGAGAGCACTTCAGATCTCTCTTCACATATTTTGGTAGTCAATACGTTGTATTATTAACTGTGGTTACTATATTGTACATTAGGTTTCCAGTACTTAATCATCTTATAACTGAAGCTTTGTATTCTTTAGCCAACATCTTTTTTTCCCCCAGAAAGCCCAGCCCAGCCCCCGGTAACCTCCATTACTCTCTATTACCAAGAGTTCCATGTATTCACTTATATGTGGAACTATGCAGTTTTTGTCCTTCTGTGCCTGGCTTATTTCACTTAGCATAATGTTCTCCAGATCTACCCATGATGTCACAAATGGTAGGATTTCCTTTTCCTCTTCCTTCCTGTCCCTACCTTCTCTCTCTCTCTTTTTGGTACTGAGGATTGAACTTAGGGGCACTAACCACGGAGCCACATCCCCAGTATTTTATTGAGAGACAGGGTCTCACTGAGTTGTTTAGCACCTCACTGTTGCTGAGGCTGACTTTGAACTTGCGATCCTCCTGTCTCAGTCTCCTGATCTGCTGGGATTACAGGTGTACGCCACTGCACCCAGCTCCCACCTTCTTTTTAAGGCTGAATATTTTATTGTGTATTTATCAGGTATCAGGGTTTAACTGTGAATCTCCTTTGCTTCAGGCCAGCTGCAAACCTGGAGTTCTGAGGTCTTTGGGAGCTCCCAAAAGCCCTGCAGTCCCTCCTTGGACTCACCCGAGAGGCAGGTACGGGGCATCTGGGAAGAGTTGGGGGTTGGCAGCAGTGGCCATCTGAATGAGCAGGAATTGGCTGTGGTCTGCCAGAGCATCGGACTCCATGGACTTGAGAAAGAGGTGAGACCCTGGCAACTTTGTTGTGGTCATAGTTTAATGTTGGGTCTGGAAAATCCCTTCACCCTTCAGACACTGGGACAGTTCTAACAGTTTCTGATCTAAAGTCATTTGGTGGCTCCCAATGCTTCTGCCCAAAGCTAAACCTCCAGATACCTTTAAGAGCCTGCCTCCCAAATTTATTATGCTGTCAAACATGCTGGGGACTTCTAATGCCTTCACTCAAAATCCTCTTCTGTCTGGAATGAACACCCTTCCCCTTCTCAGCATGACCCCTTCTACTTCTCAACCCAGTGCGGTATCTCTGAGCCTGCCTGTCTTCACAGCAGCTGGTGGCTCTCATCCTGAGTAGGTGCTGGATGGAAGGCAGTCATGGCGCTGGGCATGATAAGGGTCGTTTGTAGCCTTGTGCCCTTGTTGGTCTATGAACCTTGGGACCAGGCCATGCTTCCTGTGTACATCTCCTCAGGGTCCAGCAAGTTTCTGTCCCCAGTAGACACTGAGTATTTGAGGAATTAGAAAGTTTAGACGCTGTTGTCTCACAATGGGCCTGAACCCAGTGAGGCTATGTAAGTTTCACAAGACAGAGTCAGGAGGCCTTAGGAAAGTGGCCTGGACACCTTTGAGTTTGGAAAAGGACAAGCAGACTGCCTTTGCTGGGTGCTTGGAGCCAGAAGGAGGGAGGGAGGTAACCTGAAGGTGGTGGTCTTTGTCTAGGAACTTGAAGACCTGTTTAACAAGCTGGATCAGGATGGAGATGGCAGAGTGAGTCTTGCAGAATTCCAAGTTGGCCTGTTCAGTCATGAGCCTGCTTCACTTCTGGAATCTTCTACCCTGCTCAAATCAAGCAAGCCCTGGTCTCATTGTCAGGTAAAATGTAGCAATTAAATCTCAAAATCCAGCAGTAACTGTTGTCATTCCCTGATGACTGAGGATACTGGCCTCTCTGCTGCTGTCACCACTTGAGCTGCTCAGGAGCTGGCTCAGTGTGTGCACACGTGAAGCTATGTGGCTTAGATTTTGGAACCACACAGACCTGGGGGTGAGTCAGTGTTGCTTTTTCCAGCTGTGTATCACAGGATGAGTTACTCATTTTCTCTAAGCTTTAGTCCCATCTATAAGATGGAGACAGTCAAGTCAACCATTTTAGGAGTTCTGGAGGATAATGAACAATGCACGGTACACAGCATTTCTTCAGTGAGTCTTCTCAATTGTAGGTGTGGTAATATGTTCCAAAAGAGAACTCCCTCCTTTCGCTTCCCTTCCCCATTGGGTATTGAGAGTTGGCTCCTGAAGGCTTCTGCTGTACCTTATCTAGAATTGGTCCTCAGTGTTCTTTAGCTGAGTTCTCCCCATTCTGTAGTCCTGCATTTTATCTTTTTCACAGATCCCGTCTCCAGGGGCTGGGGAGAGTAAATTTCAGGCAGCTATTTAAATTAGGACTTTTTTCAGTGAACACTAGCCTAGCACTGTTTCTCTCAGCACTGGGACAGGATGGCACAGTTGCTCTGGAGATTTAGTGTGGATGCTTCTTTGCTGGTGGGCATCATGTAGGACCAGTAGTGCTGTCTTTTACCAGGGGTGGGTACATCTGACTAGAGTTAATGAGAACAGGTGAAGAAGAAACTCAGCAGCCAGTGTTGCAGAGAGGTGTTAGCCCTACAGGTGAGAAAGACTGGAGTCCCAGTGAGTCATGTTCCATGCTGGTCAAGTTAGACACCTCCTCTGAATAAAGCTGTCCCTGTTTGCCACTGTTGTCCTCTGGAACAGGGTCTTAGAGTAGCTGTGGCTCTTTCCAAAGGGGTCATCATTCACCCTTAGGCCCCAGGCTGACAGCTAAAGAGGACTGAGGGTCCCACGTTCCCCATCAGTGGACTTCTTACCCAACAGCCTAACCTGCTGAGGTCCTGCAGTTACAAATGTGCTAGAGGCTACAGCCCCTCCCAGTGCAGCATGGCCCTCTCACTTCCTGTTCTTGGTAAGCTGCTCCTGTTCTCCTGGGCATTGCAGACACTGAGTCATCTTCCCTCATCATCCCATACTCTGCATACATAAGACCCATGCACAGCTACATACACATCTACCTACTTTGTACATGCACACTACACACACACACACACACACACACACAGAGCAAACCCACATTGCTCACTGTTCATGTGCACTCACTGTTTATACATCCACATCCATTGTATTTGTGCGCCCCATGTATACATACTACATACACACATCCACTGTATACAGACATCTACCAAGGCTGCCACAGATACCATGCAGGGCAGGGAGAAGATATTCCTGTGTGTGGAGGGAGGCTGGGGGTAGTGAGCAGAGGTCTCTGATATTCAGGAAGTGCTGCCATCCCTAGTCCTGTAGTCCCAGACAACAGAGGCTTATTGAGAAGGACCCTACCTGGGGCAGAAAACAGAATGGAAATCATTCTTGCCCTTTGAATGAATTCTTATACTACTGAAGTCTTAGAGGCAGCTTTCTGGTTGAGAGATTATGCCTTCTTTATAAAACTCACTAACACTCCTCAACCGTGAACTGTGGGCCTCTGAGTTGTAAGGAAATATTATTCTTCTTGGGCCATTTCTTTTCTTCTTTTGGGGCCTCTCATTTCTTTTCTGGAAGTTAATTTACCTGGCATGGCATATACCTTCCCAGGCTCTTCCTTTGTAAGGCCAGGTGCACACTGTCACCACCTGAGATGTCAAAACCCCTTTATGGTCTCTCTGTTAAGTGATGAGCTGGCCAGGACTGATGGTAGGCCACCCAGGGATAAGGCCTCAAATGGACAGTACTAGAGCAGATGCCTGAGGGTCATTGAGAGAGCACCCGGTCAAGGTCCCTAGGTGAAGATCCCTGTTCTGTTCCCTGCAGATCCATGTGATTTTAGACATATCCTATGATGGTACCCTGCCTCTTTTGTCTAGGAAAAGGAGCTAATGATAACCTGAGTTGTTCTTGTTTTATACCTCAATGAGAAGGCAATGTGCTGAGCACAGGCTGGTGAGGGTGGAAAGCCGTTAAAACATGCAGACGCTCTGGCTTCCCGTCCCCCATGTGCTCAGGGTATCTTCTTTTTCCATTGTGCAGGTCCCAACAGAGAACGGCTGCCACCCTACCCCTACCACCTCGTCCCTTGTGTCTGTGTGCTCAGGCCTGCGCTTCTTCTCCAACGTTGATGATGGTAGTGGCTTTGCCTTTCCTGAGCAGATCATCACCACCTGGGCACAGGAAGGGATTCAGAATGGCAGGGAAATCTTGCAGGTTTGAAACTGGCCATTCACAGCTGCCCTGGTGGGTGGCATCCAGGGGCAGTTGGGCTGGGTGGGGGTCATGTTTCTACAGAGAAAGATAGAAAAAGCACCCCATGCAGGGACAGGGAAGGACATGTGCTCTGTGCAGAAAATCCCTTATAGGCAAGTCTTGGAGGAAACATCTTTTCCTTCAATTTCTGCTATTTATAGGAAATTTAAATCTTAAAAGATAATATATAAAATACAAAGAAAATAAGAGTCTCAAAAAGTACATTTGAAGGTAAATTCCATTGTCTACATACTTTATCCCATTGCTACACAAAGGAGGCAAGTGCCACAAATTTGTGAAGAGGTGTAATGGGTGTCACTGTCACCAGTGTTCCTAAGGAGTCCATGGTGAGCCGTAATTGCTCACAAAGCCCCATGCCAGCTTGAGCTCTCCTCTGCCACAGTTTCCACTTCCCACAGACCCTTCCCTGCCAGGGGTTGAAAGTCAGAGGCTTTTTGTACTTTACCACCCTCCTCCTGTTTTTTTGGGCCACCCAGGAAGCTTCCTTTCAGGGCCATAGGGCCAGCCGTCAGGATTTGGAGAGAGCTCTGCCTGGAGTGGCAGAGTCAGAGGCTCACAGGGAACAGATGGCTAAGGGGAAGATTGCCTTGGGGATGTGCCATGATTAGAGTTATTATTTTCTTTTTTACAATACCTTTATTTTATTTATTTATTTTTATGTGATGCTAAGGATAGAACCCAGTGCCTCCCACATGCCAGGCAAGTGCTCTACCACTGAGCTACAGCCTTAGATTTATTATTTTCATTTCCAAATTTCACTTTCCATTATTTAAAAAAAAAATTGTCTACTAGCTGGGGCTCTGTGAGCATAACTGTAATCCCAGCTACTCAGGAGGCTGAAGTAAGCAGATTGCAGTTTTGAGGCCAATCTCAGCAAAATAGCAAGACCCTATATCAAAATAAAACTTTAAAAAAAAAAGAACTGGGGATATAGCTCAGTGGCAGAGGGACCCTGAGCTCAATCCTCAATACGATTTAAAAAAATTCTTAGTACAGAAATCTATAAAATAAGAAAGTGAGTCTGTCCCTGTTTTGTTTCCATTCCTGGAGGTCCAAGGAAGGTGCAAGAACTGACAGTTTGGTAGGTATTCTGTAGTTGTTTTTTTTTCCCCCTGGCACACAAAAAATAGATGTATTTATACATTCTCCTTAAAACTTTTTTCAAAATTGATATCATACTATGTATCTTGCTAATTTGTGTGACCTTTCCCCACTCTCAGGCAGTGTAGGTTGTTTCCAAAGTTTTCCTTATTAGAAATATCAGCATTTATAAAAATATTCTCATGCTTCTGTGCTGGAAATTTTTTTGTGTGGTATTCCTGAAATTACACATTTTAACTCTTCCTAGGCTCTGTCTTGTTGTTTCCAAAAACATCCCTGTTAGCACAAACCAACAGAGCATGAAGGAGTCCAAAAACAGCCTCTCAGTCTGCCTGGCTGTGTGGGCGGAGACCCTCTGGAGGCTCAACCTAGCCTTTGCCATCCCTTTATCATCCTTGCCAAAATGGTAGGTCCTACCTGGACAGCTGCCCTCATGATTGTTCTGAAAATCAGAGGCTGTTGGGATCACCAAAAATTTTATTCAGGGGCTGGGGTTGTGGCTTAGTGGTAGAGCGCTTGCCTCACATGCGTGAGGCCCTGGGTTCAATCCTCAGCACCACATAAAAATAAATAAACAAAACAAAGATATTGTATCCATCTACAACTTAAAAAGAATTAAAAAATTTTATTCAGAGAGGGCAAAGAACAGAGGTGCTCTTCTGATATTTCCTTGGTGCAGAGGTGAGCATCTTGGCTGCCATCCTGGTCTGGTCAATGATGAGGCTTTGTCTTGCCTTTTCCATTATTTCAGAACTTACTCCTTTTATTGTCTTTTGTTTGCTTATTTATTTTGGTACCAGGGATTGAATCCAGGGATGCTTAACCATTAGACCACTTTACCGGCATTCCTCCCACTTTTTGTTAATGTTAAAATTTTTTCATTTTGAGACAAGTTCTCACTAAGTGGCTAGGGCCTCGGTAAATTGCGGAGGCTGGCTTTGAACTTGCAATCCTTCTGCCTCAGCCTCCCAAGCCAGTGGGATTATAGGTGTGCATCACTGCACCTGGCTATTGCTTTTTTTTTTTTTTTCAATCAGATGATGTTCTCATTTCTTTTGTAATTTGCCAGTTGCCTTCAGGTTTTGGTTTTATTTTATTGAGATAGCAACAATGTTGATTGAATATCTCTCAGCACTTAGACACCAAGCAAGTATCTGTCAAGTGTGTGACCTTATTGAATCCTCACATCAGTCCTGAAGATGCTTCTATGTGTACTTGACACGGGGGGGTGACAGAGTCAATAGCTTGCCTAGGCCTCAGGATGGGTGGAATGTCATTCAGACACCTGTCATTCCACATCTGGGCCCTTTGTACGATATGAGGTTGCTAGTAACTGCTTATTGGTGGAGCTGCCAGCAGCAGCACAGGTCTCTAACCCTATAAAGAGCAGTGAGCACCTGAGAGAACTTTCCCCTGGGAGGGAAGTACTGGCAGGGAGAGCCCTTGGCTTACACATGTCCAGGCATTGCACACCTGGTTTCTCTAGGTCTCCAGCCAATGCCATTGCACTTTTTACCTGGCCCTGCAATAGGGTCTGTTATGAGGGTGTTCCTCTTTATGCTGCTCTGAGAGAAGACCCCTTAGCAGATTATCACTAAATCATACCCCCTACAACATATGCACCATTTCTTACCTCAAACAGTTTCTTTTTTTTTTTTAATTCAGTTTTTTTTTATTACATATAGATATAAAACATGGGTCCCCAGTATTTCTTTTTTTTTTTTCTGGGGCAAACAATGTTCTATAATTCTGAACCACAATAAGTTGCAATTTAAAAAAAATCTGAGACTTGCACTCTTAGTGTGAAAGCATTTCACCTTAAGTAATTTTATAAATTCTAAGGAATAGAAAAAAATGCTTTTTTCTTGGATATTTGGAAAATTATAAAATAATTGGGCTGAAAAATATATTTGTTAGTACTTTTATACATTAGTACTGTCCACAGCAGGGAGCAGGGGTAGGAAAAACTAATATATATATATATATATATGTCTTTGCATGTCAACAAACAGTTTCTGTGGATGAAAAATTGGGGGTCAGCTGAGCAGGATGATCCCAGTTCATATTGCCTTGTGAGGGTGTAGGCAGATGTCAGCTAGTGCCACAGTCCTCCACAGGCCCGCCTGGGACTAGAGATCACTTCTAGGATGGTACATTCACAAAAATGACAGGCTGATGCTCACACCTTAGGCAGGAGGCCTTTGTCCCTTGCCATGTAGACCTTTCCCTAGGGCTGCTTGAGTATCCCTCCAACATGGCAGCTGGCTGCTCCAGAGTGAGTGATCAGAGCAAGGAAGCAGCCACGTGTCTGGTGACTTGGGCCTTCATAATACATGCTGTTGCTTAGTATTCTGTTGGTTGCACTGCTCAATTCTGTTTAGAACGGGAGGGGAGCACTCCGAAGGCCAGGAGCCATGGGCTCTCAGGAAGGCTGGCTCCCACGCATGCCACTATGGTTTCTGATGACTTCTACTCCTGGCAGTTGCGTCTATAGCAGGTTTCTGTCACTTTCCCACACCCTATCTGGTGATACTGTTGCAGAGAAGAGTGTGCTGTGTCATAGCAGCCTTGGTGTCCTGCTGCTGTATGTGGTCCACCTTTCTTATTAGGATATGCTAGAAAGTGGGTGGCTGTGAAATTCAAGTCTTCATTTCTCAGGAGCAACCCCGATCCCCCAGGGGAACTGGGCATGTCACGGCATCTTCTCCCATAGGCTGATGTGGTGCCTGCCTCTGGACTCGTGTGTAACTTCATAATTTTTTTTAGAAATCATAGAAGGAAGTAGGAGTCAGGAGTACTTGATGCTGACAAAACAAGTGTGGTAAAACATTAGTTACTGGCCACTTGAACTGAGAGAGTGTGGGTATTCACTCTTCTGTTCTTTTTGTATTATTGTAAAACACACATGACATAAATTGTTATATTCTTTTAACTGTATTTTTCCAAATTCTGATGGGAAACAGAATCTCCCTGGGATACACACCGCCGTGGCTCCTCCTTTTGATAGATCATTTTACTGACAGAATCATCCATCCATATGTGTGTTTCATAGACATAGATGAATCAGGATTCACTTAGTTTGATATGGCAAAACCCCAACACAAATGGCTTACTCAGAAGGAGAACCTTAGGGGCCTGAGTGGGCACCAGGGAGGTGGACTTCAGCTGTGACAGAATCTGAGTCAAGTGGTGGTATTGGGTCTCCCCTGTCTTGCTTTGTTGGCTGCTGGGCAGGCCTCCTCACGTGGGCTTCCTAAGGCTTATCCAGGACTTACAACAGTTGGTTTCAGAGGGATGAAGGGCCCTGCCCCCTGGTCTCCACTTAAGTCCCCATGAGGTGCTTGTTGGCTTATGTCCTTCCTACACCTCAAGCTTTCTCCAGACAGTGGGGCTCTGTCCAGCCTGGGTAGCATCCACCCCTGAGGCAGAGACAGGGTATGACAGGGATGACTGAGAACAGTGCTGAAAGGGACAGGTGGCCTCATGACTAGAGGAATGTGGTGGGGGGCACCTCATGACAAGGATGGGGGGGTAGTCTGTAGAATTACTTGGGACTGAATGGGGTACCCCCCACCAAGAGACTTTTGCAGTCAGAAAAGAGATAGGTACTGGCTACAATAGCCATTATGGGACTGTCCCTGGACTGTCCTTAGGAGAATTGGGAAGTATGTTTGGAGAAGTCCCTTATCCTCTTGTGCCCAATGGGGCTTGCTACTTCCAGAGCCTGGACTTCAGCATGGATGAGAAGGTGAATCTTTTGGAGCTGACCTGGGCCCTCGACAATGAGCTCCTGACAGTTGATGGTGTTGTCCAGCAGGCAGCCCTGGCCTGCTACCGTCAGGAGCTGAGCTACCACCTGTAAGAGCCCACCAGGGACCGGGGATTGGGGTGAAACTGAAGTGACAGAGCCAAGATCACACACATAAGTCACCTTTTTCTTTGAGAGACCCACCTGTATTTGCTGAGATGTCAGGCAGCAGTGCAAAACTGTGGCCAGTGCAAAAATGGTGGCTAACATTTTCCTTCCCTTTTTGCATCCATTGCAGATTAGGGGCCTGAGATCCAAGAGCTCTTGGCCTACTGGAGACAAAGTGCCTACAGATAAATCCTCTCGCATCCTGAGCTCATCTAGATATGTAGCACACAGTAGGAGCTCTAGGCACAAACTGCCTGGGTCAGAAACCTTCTAGAAATTTTATTTGCCAAACATTTGGGGTACTTCCCCAACCCCATTTATAAAATGGGTATAGCAGCTATAGAAAACACACTAGGTGGTAGTTGTGGGGGCAATGAGGTCAGCATGTGCTAGCCCATACATAGTTTCTGTAACTGTATCTGTTTTTATCATATACACAGACATGGGACTCATGGGGTTCAGAGTAGGCACAGGTGGGGCATGTCAGGTCTATGGTGGGGATCCCATCTAACTTGTCTCCTTCCTGTGGCAGAACACAAGTGGAGCAGTTGGTGCAGGAGAGAGACAAGGCAAGACAGGACCTAGAGAGAGCCGAGAAGAGGAATCTGGAGTTTGTGAAAGAGATGGATGACTGCCACTCTGCCCTGGAGCAGCTGACAGAGAAGAAAATCAAGTAGGTTCTGGGCCCAGAGCAGTGGCTTCTGGGCAGACATGGGAGCAACTCTTCACCTGGGGCCTCTCCTGATGCATTGCTGAGAGCAGGGGTTGGCACGGGGCTGCTGAGGCCACAGTTGTGTGTACTGCAGAGCTGAGGCCCTGAGTTTCACCTGAGCCAGAAGACAGCTTTGAGGATATCCTTTCTGAGAGGAGAAGGTACATCTAAAACGCAGTCCCAGTCTTTAAGATGTGGGTGCAAAGTGCCTGGTGTCAGCTGTGCATGCCCAAGGATGACAGGGAAAACCCCTGGCTCTGCCCTCACATACTTCAGGGTCTGCCTTATAAAAGCCAAGGAGGCTCATAACCTGTATGTGTTCCTATTTGACTGTGAGGTAGTGGAAGCTTTGAGAGGGGCTGGCAAATGGCCTCTCATTGGTTCGGCTGGTAGAGGGATCTCAGGGACCAAGGCCTGACTCACATGTCACAGTTCTAGTGTGCTGAGCCAAGCCCTGGTACAGTTTCAGTGTGTGGTGTTGGCAGATAGATAGGCCAGAGAAAAGGACACAAAGTCACCTCTCTGGTTTATAAGCCAGAACATTTGAGGAAATATTGCCTGTGAGGATTTCCCAGACTTTGGCAGGGAAGTAACTTCCCTGTACTTACTATGGGAGTCTTAGTAGGTGGTGGGTGGAGTCAGCACAGTGCTTGCTGGCCTGTGGTCCCTGGAAGGGTTCAGCTGTGCACCTCCCCCACACATGAAGATAAAGGAGGAGGGAAAGAGAGATGGCATGGGTACCTTGATTACTCTGAAAAAACCTCTCACCTTTGCCTCCCCTGTCAAGTGTGTGTGGCATTGGAAAGTGACACTTTTTCACAGCAGTCCCCATGCTATGTGTGTCATTCAAGATACACAGAAAACCTCTGACACAGACCTGATGGACCGTTAAAGGGATTTCATAGGAATTTTTACCCTCCTGCATTTGCCTCCCATGACCTTGGAGCATTCACCCAGCCAGCAAGGAGACTTTTAGCATTATTGTGGCTGGTAGGGAAGAGAGATGAGCAGGAAGTTGGTTGGGAGGAGCCAGAAAAGCTGTGGATAGCACCTTTCTTGGCTTGGTCAGCCAGCCCCAGCTGCCATAGAGGATGCAGCCTGGTCCCAGTGAATGGGGAGCTCAGCAGTCAATACCTACCTCATGGCATTTTGTATTAGGCTAAACCTTGAGTTGATACCAAAAGCCCATTCTTCCTTTGCCAAAGACCATAGCACCTTGGCTGTGCAATCTGAGGCCCAGAGGTTGAGCAGACAACGTGGTCTCAGGCTCCCACGAAGACTTTTCTGGCCTGTGAGGCTGCTGTGGTCTGAGTGTTCTGTCTGTGCAGATGGTGCCTCACATAAGAGCCTCTGCCACCCAAAACAGACCATTTTAATTCCATTTTCAGCCAAAGAAACTGAGAATTGAAGCAGTTCAGTAACTTGCCCACAATTTTGTGTGGATACGTGAAACTGAAATGTAGGTCTTCTCCTATTCTCACACTGGTTTTTGTTTTATTTTTGGTATTAGGGATTGAACCCAGGGGCGCTTAATCATTGAGCCACCTCCCCAGCTCTTTTTATTTTTTATTTTGAGACGGAAACTCATTAGGTTGCTTAGGTCCTTGCTAAGTTACTGAGGCTGGCTTTGAACCTATAATCCTCTTGCCTCAGCCTCCCAAGCTGCTGGGATTACAAGTGTGTTCCACTGTGCCAGGCTTGCTCTATTTCTAAGACAACTTATTTAGTTTGAGAGTATAAGAAAATGGAACCTTAAGTGAAAAGAACACTAAGGGGTCAAGAGTTTGTTCACGTTGCCCTGGGTCAGCCATGGTCCTCAGTCAATTCTTCTCCACAATCTGTGCACTCAGGTCTCTGCAGATATGCCCTGGGTGGAAGCAGGTCTCCACTTCGCCTCCTGTAGCAGCCACCTTCCCTCCTATGACAGTTCACATGGGCAGACTCTGGGCAAGTCAGGACTCCCTACTGTGACCACCTGTGCCTACTATGTCCACTTCCCCTCCATAGTGGCTGGGGAAGGCCAACACAGCAGGCTGAGGCTGACGCATGCTTCTGCACGGTGTGGGGAGGAATGTGTTAAAAATAGAAGTGAAAAAGGGTTGAGGGTGTAACTCAAGTGTAGAGCACTTGCCTAGTGATGGCACTATGGGGACGGGGTGGGTGTGTAGTAACTGTGTAGATGTGTTTGTGAAAGAACAAGTATATGAGTACATGGGTGTGTGTGTGTGTGTGTGTGTGTGTGTGTGTGTGTGTGTGAGAGAGATAGAGAGAGAGAGAGAGAGAGAGAGAGAGAGAGAGAGAGAGAGAGAACCAGCATAGCTACACCCTTGCTTCTACCAGCTGCTGAATCAAAGGCCCTTGCAGGATTGTGGGAGTTTTTAGGAAAGCTAAAAATTAATTGCCTTTTGCCAAACTCTGAAAGTGTTTCTGATTAGTCCTGAGATACTGAATACACATGACCTCACCATAAAGCAGTGTCTGGGTAAACCGAAAAGCGTAGATGTGGGAGGCCTACCAAGTGATATAGACATGGCACTTGACCTTCCTGTGGTTGAAGTGGGCCAGGGTCACTGTCCTGAAACCCCTGCACATGGGGGTTTATCTCAGAGGGGTAGTTAAGAAGTGAGTCAGTGATGTTTCTGCTCCTGTCAGCAGTTGAAAGTCTCCATTCAGCTGGTGCATCTGAAAAGTCCAGCCCAGCTTTTCTGTGTACACTCCTGCTACATGAGTTCCTGAAAGCCAAGTTGGAGAATCCTCATGGTGAAGGCTACTCTTGTCTTGACAAGGTGCTTACCTTTGCTCCCCTAAGCTGTTCTCCTTAGCTCCCTGCCTTCCCAGAACTGCTCGTAAAGTTGGTCTGGGTTTCACTGGCAGAGTGAAATTTGTGGTTAAAAATAGAATGAAAACGGGTTGGGGGGATAACTCAGGTATAGAGCACTTGCCTAGTATGCATGAGGCCCTGGTTTATATCCCCAGCACTATAAAGGGAAAAAAAAAAAAAAAAGGATTGAAAGTCTACAGAGAGAGGCCAGTAGGTTAAGTTACTAGAATGTCATTTCCTTTCTCTTGATAACCCACCCCACCCACATTCTCCTAACAGCTCTTTTAACAATGGTTAATATCAGCTTCATGACTTTTTGGTACTAGGGATTGAATCCAGGGACACTTAACCACTGAGCCACATCCGCAGCCCTTTTTATTTTTTATTTTGAGACAGGTTCTCACTAAGTGACTTAGTGTCTTGCTAATTTGCTGAGGCTGGCCTCAAACTTGTGATCCTCCTGCCTCAGACTTTCAGGTTACTAAGATTACAAGTGTGCCATTATACCCAACAAAGAAGACTCATTTTGAAACAAATATACCTAAAATCTAAGAGTAAATTGGTTTTGGATAATCCCCTTGAGTAACCAAGAGTTAATTTATTCTAGTTGGAATGTGTGGGGCTTGATTATCTTCCAACCACCAGGAAAGAACTTAGTGATGTCTTTCCTAGGAATTAGGATCATAAACTCTACTGTAATATCTCTATGAATCTGGTTGAGGGACACATCAAGAGATTCTGAGCCGAAGCCCAGAGAGCCTAGTGGGCTGCTGGATCTCATTCTGTGAGCAGTGGGGAAATTATCAGTAGGTTCCTGTAGGTAAGTTTTTTTTACTATGTATGTAATAAGTGACATATTCATTATAGAAAACTCAGAAAATAACACCAGAAATTCTACTTCCCAGAAAGGATTACTCTTTTCAATGACCTTTACTTCTTTTTTCTATCCATATAACAATATAAAAGATGATATCATATTATATATACTTTTCTGATGCCTGCACAGTGTCCCATTATGTGAGTCTGCCTCCTTTTTTTATTTAACCACTTTCTTTTCATTGTGTATTTTAAAGGTTTTAAAGAATGGGGTGATAGGATCAAATATTGTATGTTGTAAAAATAGTAGTTTAAACTTAGTCAAAATATTGTGAATGGCTGGGAATGTGGCTCAAGCGGCAGCGCGCTCGCCTGGCATGCGTGGGGTGCTGGGTTCGATCCTCAGCACCACATAAAAATAAAATAATGATGTTGTGTTCACCAAAAACTAAAAAATAAATATTAAAAATTCTCTCTCTCTCTCTCTCTCTCTCAAAAATATATATTGTGAAGTGTTAGTCCTACTTGTCATAATGTGGTTATTTTCCTAAGAGGAGATGGCCTTCCTTCATCTTCTTGCCCTTCGGGTATTTCTTCAAAGTTCTGAGCCAAGATTAAAAGCCTGAGTTTTGTCAGCTGGAGGGTGTCCCATACTTCTCTTATACTCAGTCTTGGACACTGTCAACCCTTCTGAAGCCAGAGTCTCTTTCATTTGCAAGTCTAAACAGACTTGGTTTGAGAAATGTGTCAAGAAGACTAAGATTTGATGGAAATGGTTGTTGCAAAAGATGAATAGAAATTTTGAGGAAAAAATGCTACATATATCTTCCTCTTCCCTCTTGAGAATTCATTGTCCATAGGTTTCATGCTGCCTGTTTCTTGCAGAGGGAGGCTGACTTTTACACAAATCTGGTGTCAAAGGCCTTATCAAAGGGCTGCTGCAGGGTAGTGTGGTGTGATGTTGTGCAGTGTAGGTTTGGAGTAGAAAAGCTGTGCATCAGTGTGATACACCCCAGAGAGCTCTGACCACTCACTCATACCAGGACTCCAAGGGCAAGGTGCTGGCATTCATGTAACCCAGCAGCACCCCTTTTCTGATAAGCATCAGGCCTGCATGAGAAGTTCATCTGCTAGAAGCCAACCCCATCTGCTGAGCAGAATGACAGGGTCCCAGATGGCTGGCCAAGTGCTAAAGGTGGGGTGGGCTTCTGAGAAGAAATGCATCCTGAGGAGGTAGGTGGCACACCTAAAGAGCCCCAACATAGAGTGCATGCTGTGTTACAGGAACCTGGAGGAGGGGTACAGGGGAAGGCTGAGTCTCCTGCGCTCAGAGGTGGAGATGGAGCAGGAGCTGATCTGGGAGCAGGCCTGCAGGCAGAAGGCTGCACTGGAGCAAGATGTGAGCCGCTTGAGGGCTGAGGAGGCCAGCCTCCATGAGAAGCTCACCCTGGCCCTAAAGGTAAGTGGGGTGCATCCCTGGGGCACCACTGTGAAGATACAAATGGTTGGCAGAGTAGGGTGATGTTACTTTCTCAGCCAAAGGAGAACATTTCAACTTTGTGAGGAGCCATATTGTGGCTCCCTCTAGCTCCCATTCTTTGCTCAAAGTCAGATAAACCTGAGATCAATGAGTCTGGTGGTACCCTCAGAGTCTAGGAGCACATATAGAGTAGCCTGCCAGAGACCAGATTTGTGGCCTGGAAGAGACATGGCTTTGGTGAGTATCCCATGCTCTGCACTCTCCCTGTGCTTGTCTCCAGTGAGGTTCTAGGCTGCAGGACAGGTAGCTGAGACTTAGAGGCACTCATCTGTGTGCCTGGTTCCTCCTCTCCTGTTTCTCCTTCCTTCCTAACTTGGAGCCCAGTAGCTTCCTTCCACATCTGCCCTGCCTCTTAGCTATCTCTCTTCTCTGGGAGGAAAAGCTGGACACAACATAAATCACTTACCAGCTTTGTTGTTGGTAGAATTATGTCCCTTGACCCTTCTCACTACAGTCCCCAGTGTCTGCAGATCCTACCCTCCTTCCCTGATAGGCCTCTGAGCCCTATATCAATAGGGCAGTTTCAGATCTCTCATTTAGAAAACAGCTCAGGCCAGGCACAGAGGCATACACCTGTAATCCCAACAACTTGGGAGGTTGAAGCAGGAGAATCTCAAGCTTGAGGCCAGCCTGACCTTGTATCAAAAAATAAAATGGATTGGGCATTATTGCTTAGTGATAGAGCACCCCTGGGCTCAATCCCCAATTCTGGGGGCAGAGGAATGATGCATTCAGCCTTTTCTTTATCACCCTTAACTTTTCTAAGCATGCGGAATGGGAGAAGAAAAGTAGAGACAATCAGGAAGCCATCTTTGTACAGCCCCACCTGTTCAGTGCAGAGGCAGTGGGTACATAGATGCCCTGCCTTAAGGGTTGTTCCCTGATTACAAATGCTGCTTGGTACAAGCCTTCTACTTTAAGAGAGGTGACTCTGAGACCTGCTGACATCCTCCTTCAGTTCCTAAGCCTGGTCAACACTGGCCTGTGTCTCATAGGAAAACAGTCGATTACAGAAGGAGATTGTGGAAGTGGTGGAAAAGCTTTCAGATTCAGAGAAACTAGTCCTGAAACTACAGAACGACCTGGAGTTTGTGCTGAAAGACAAGGCAAGTCCTTCTGCTGATTTTGAGTCTTCAGAGGGAAGCCTGTGGTAGCGGGTAAAAGCTGTCTGTATCTTGAAAAAGAATATATAGGTGACTGAATTTAATGTTTTTCTACTGAAATTCTAGAACCGAAAAAAAAAAATTAGCATGGTTACCTTACCTCGTTTTTAGACCTCTTTGTGACAGTGTTGGGTGTCATCTGTGACCAGGGACAGCACCATTTGCATGGGCCTCAGATACCCATTCCCAGAGTTGGGGGTAAGGAGGAAGGTTAGAGCTCTGTGCCACCTCAAGGCTCCCGTGGGGCTCTCCCCATCCTCTGAGGAGAAGAGGGACTACTCAGGGACAGGAAGGAAAGTCAGAGTGGTTGTACGTGGAGGTGCACAGCCCACCATGGAGGAAGGTTCTCAGAGTCAGGACTGGAGAAGCAGCTCCACTGGCCTGAGGGCCTTCCTCTGATTACTTGTCCTTCTCACTTTCAGCTGGAGCCACAGAACATGGAGCTGCCGTCCCAGGAGGAGCAGTTTGCAGTACTCCTGAAGGAATATGAGCTCAAGTGCCGGGTACATGCCCCACCCAACCTGCCTAGCCACCTGAAACAGCCCTGTGTCCTGCTGTACCTGAAGCCCTCACTTTTGTCATTGATGCACAGAACCTTCCTGTACCCCTACCCTACCCCTAGTCCACCTGCAGCAGCAGCAGCAGGAAGGGGTGCCTGTGAAATGGGCTTGCCCTGGAGGCTGTCGAGGTCAGCCTGGCTCAGACCTCTGGCAATGTGCAGCCCTCATACCTCTCCCCTCCTGGGTGAACAGCACTCTTGGTCTTCAGATGTAGAGTGGTCCAGCAGGGGATGGCAGGAGTATCTTCTCCAGGCAGAGTGTCTAATGGAGGTTGCTCAGCCCTACATAGGCATTGTTGAGTCATGCCAAGTGTGCCCAGGGACCAGCCAAGATTCTGAGACAGAAGGGTCTACTTCCAGGATCAATCCTCTTGAAGAAATTTCATTATAGGACACCAGGTGTGGCAGTACTCACCTGTAATCTCCATGGCTTGGGAGGCCAAGGCAGAAAAATCACAAGTTCAAAGCCAGACTCAGCAACTTAGCAAGGCCCTAAGCAATTTAGCAAGACTCTGTTTCTAAATAAAATTAAATATAAAAGGGGCTGGGGATGTGGCTCAGTGGTTAAGCACCCCTGAGTTCAGTCCCCAGTATAAAAAGTTAAAATAAAGAAAGACAGAAAAGAACATGGAAGTAGATGATTGTAGACATGAACACCTACATAGGCAGCATTACCGATTGAGTAAGAATAAGTAAGGCGCATCTTCCGATTGTTAGCCATTTAAAACTCTATGGTGGGTCTGGGATGTAACTTAGTGGTAGAGCATGTGCTTAGCATATATGAGGCCCTGGATTCAAGCCCCACTGCACCCACCAAAAAAAATCCTCCATATATAAACTCCATTGACAAAAATAAGAAACATCTAAGACAGATGAGTTAACTGTTCCAAGTTCAACACTATAATTTGTAACTATCTGAAGATGTGATTATGTGTGAAGTTGACAGTTCTATCAGGTCCAGGTATAGTTACCTTGTGTGCTAATGGATTAGACACAACTAGTTTTAGTTTTCTCTAATTCTTTCCATATGTAAGTCACCTATAAGTATTCATTCCAAGTCACCTCACACTAAAAATGTGATTATTTCTGGGGATACTGTTAATAGTCATTGTTAAGGGCACCAAAGTAATTTTCTGTGATTTGAAAGTGGAGCAGATAGTGTGGGGAAGACATTTGTATTCTTAAAGTTGGTAATTAATATGGGATGCCCTGTCTCCAGAAAAATAGATAAAACAATTGTTTGATTTTAAGGGTCTATTATCAGTTCATTTCTCATTGATTTTCCTCCAATTTAAGTACATTAATTACTTTGTTTCTGCTGCACATTGCTTTGCCAACACCAGAGGATAAAGGTGAGCCTGACCTTTGGTTCTGAGTGGGCTCTGCATCTGCTGCTGTGGTTTGCCTCTGACTCCAGACCCCAATCCCAGGTGCCCTGCTGGTTTTTCTCTGCACTGATTCTTCCTTTTAAAAATCCTGTGTGTGGTGAGCCGTTGTCACCCTTCCTCTGGACTTATTTGGGGTATATTGGGGGCAGTCATACAGGTGGAATGTGCTGGCTAGCTGTCTGCCAGGATCATAGTCACATGCTGGGTCTTTCTTTTGAACTTGTTGAGTAGACTAGGAACTTAGAAGTAATCATCAATTAATACGTGCCTTTAGTACACTGGATTTTTCAAATATACATAAATCCTTTTTCTTGAATGTAACTCTGCTACTTATTTCGTCTCTGATTCTTGAAAATCTATTTTTTTGACACATTGCTAAAGATATTTTACATTTTAGTGCTAGCTGTGTGTGTATTTAAAGATTTTCCCTTTCCATATTTTTGGGATATTTTTGGCTATTTCCAACTAACATTTAGAGCATTTTTAAAATGTATACAAAATTGCAAGCATAAAAATATAAAAATAGTGCAGTGAACACCTGTGTAAAAAGAAGGGAATATCCTTCTTTAAAATTTTAATTGATATATAATGAACATATTTACGGGGCACAGTGTGAGAAAGTCAATATGTGAATACAATGTGTAATGATCAAATCAGAGTAATGAGCATTTTCACCTCCTCAGACACTTATCATTTATTTTTATTTGGAACCTTCAAACGCCTCTTACATTTAAATTGAGATGTGTAATAAGTTCTTATGAACTATAATCCCTGGTGTTTCCTTTTGATTCAATGGAGGCAGTGCTTTCTTGGCTAGAACACTTAGGTAGGAGACGTTGTGTTTATCTGGCCCTCATTGGTGATGGTAATGATCACCTGGTTGAGGTGTTGCCTGATTTCCCTGACATACGATTGTTTTTTTTCTCCCTTATTAACTAAGCAGTAGGGAAACACTTTAAGGCCAGGCATGCATCCATTTGAATTTAGCATCCATTAGTGATTCTTGCCCAATTCAGTCCTTACCATGATAATTGCAAAATGATTTTTTCCAACTCCAGCACCCATTCCACATCTGTCACTGTTGTTCTACCTCAAGCTGGAGAACTCCCATTTGTCCCTCTGTCCTTGGTGTAGACATTAATTCCCCTTTTCCCCTAGTAGTTTTTAATTCGTTCATGTGCTAGTAATTCTGGTGCTCAAGTTGTGCAACCTTTGAGCAGTAAGAATGTCTTCTAGCTGACTGAGGGCATCTTTTATGGTCAATCTCCAGGTTCCAGAAGATGCACCTTCCTCACTGTGCATCTCTCCTTCTTCCCAGGGTCACTTCTCTGGGGTTTCTTGTGCTTATAAGAAGGAATATTTGCCAGCAAGGACACCATGCTTTCTCTTGATGCAGAATTCCCTTTCTATTTCACTGTCATTTTAACTTTCCCTTTGTCTTTTGACTGTCGGTCTCAGTTTTCATGGTGAGGCTGCCCTTGCTAAAGGGGAGTCTGAAATGTTAATGAGATTCTCCTTAGAGATTCTCTGTGGTTTCATGTCTTTATTGCTACTCAGAGTAGCATAACTTTGATCAGAAACCCTAAATTTGATTTTCTTTTTGAACTTTTCTACATCAGCCTCTAACAGATACCCAGTTTTCCCCATTTTCTGGACATACACAGGGCTTTAGACCCCTACATTTATGCTTAATCAGCTTGACTGGTTCCCCACGGGCAGCCTGCCAGCACTGGTTTCCTCTCCACACTTCTGAAAGTTGCTTCTTGGTATTGATGTTGAACCCCATCTCATTTCTGATTTCGTTTATGAGCTTGCCTTCTCCCCACTAACCAGAAGGAAAGTTCCAGAGTTCCAGAGTCTGCAGATTACCAGGGATACAGGAAATGACTGCTAGGCTTGTCATTAAAGTCTGTCTCCCTGGCTGGTGCAGTAGTGCCCCAAAGTTGCCTTTAGTGTCCTTAAACCACCCCAAATAAACATGTATTGTCTCATGACCAGCCCCCTCCCCCTGTGGAGACCCCTGGTGCCCAGAACACATGCCACCTTCAACAGTCATGACAAACCACTCCTGGCCTGACCTGTGCCCCCCATCATCTGAGAGAACCTCTGTTTTCTGGCACTACTGAATATACGGAATATTTCTATGCTCTCAAAATACCCATTTTGGGTGGCAGAAAGAACCACAAAGTCAGCAGGGCCTGACTTTGGGTGGAAATGATTCTGTTGATGCTGCCTTCTGGATCAGCACTGGCTAGTAAAAATACGATACCAGTCACACATGTAGTTTTAAGTTTTCAAGTAGGTACCTTAAAAAATATAGAGACAGGTGCTGTTAATTTTAATAATATATCTTGTTTAATCCATTATATCAAAAATGTTATTTTAATACATAAACAATTGTTGAGATATTGTACAACATCCCCAACTTTTTTTTTTAAGTCTTTGAAGTCATGTTTATATTTCAGGAGCTCATTAGCCTATGTGGCAAGCAACTCTGATTTGGACAGCTCAGGACCAGATGAATAATGAAGCTGCTGTGTTGAAGGGCAGGGCCAGTTAGCAACCGAGTGCCTGTTCTGTTCCTAGCCTATTCTTTCCCCAGGACAGAGCTTCTCCATTCTCAGGAGAAAAGTGCATTTTTGCACAGGGGATTTGGAGTGAGGTGCAAATGACCCTCCATGAATTCTTCTTTAAGATGCCCAGTGCCTGGCCCTCCTCTGTGGTGGCCTGCAGCTACCACAGAAAGGCACTTGCTCTAAGGGGAGACTTGATGATACAGTTGACAGGCAAGACACTGGCCTCCACTGGCCTCCGGCAATGGTTTCAGGAAGATTAGGTTATTTAATGAGAGCTATCTGAAGAGGTTGTAAAGAATTAGAAATTCAAAACTCAGGTAGCCGCTATCTTGTGGGTATGCCAGGTGGGCCTCCATTCCTCTCCTTATGTTCAAATGTGGGCTTCCTCACAGCATGGTAGCCAGCTTCCCCCTAAGGGAGTGTCCCAAGAGACACTATGTGGCAACTTGTCCTTAAAAAGCATATGACCTCACTTCTGCCGTGAGAAGGTCAGATCAGTCACAGAGTCATAGCTCTGCCTGGGACCCAGGGTAGGGGAGAGAGACCCACAATCAGGAATGACTGTTGCTGTGTTTCTGGAGAGTCTACAGGATTTGGAACCATCTAGGAAAATGAGCTGAAAACTCTTTCTCCTATCCCTTTTAATAAGCAAGTGCCTCGACCCGTTTATCCAGACATGCTTCATTAAAGTGCAGACCCCAAACATGCCAGCCCCAATGCAGACCCTTCCTTTGAAGCTTCCTCCTCTGTCTGAAGGGTGTGTCTCTCCCTCATTTCACTTCCTGTACCCATGTGGCCTCCACCTACTCGTTGTCTGCTTGCTAATCATCCTTTCTGCTTTGTGGCATTTGATCTAAGGCAAGTGGCATCCTCTTTGGTATTTAATAACTGCATCTTCAGAACCCTTTGCATATTGCTCAGCAGCTGAGGAAAGAATCCCAACACATAGTCCAGGACATTATGGTTTTTCATATGTGATTTTTAAACAAAGCACCTGTAGTTTCAGATGTTGGAAATTCTCTGTATTTTCCACAGTTGCCTTATTATCCACTCATTTTTTTTTCTTTGAGCCTTTCTTGTACTTCTGATGATCAAAACTCATTTGGGTGTGAGATTGACTGGTTTTTGCTTAGCCTAACTAACATGTTAGGAGTCCAGAATCATTTCCTACTGGCCTCACTGTGTGCTTAGCCCATATTGGATACTCCCTAAAAATGGGGCTGGTCCTGGGCTCATCCTTACTGGGCTCAGTGGCTGCAGCAGCTGAAGATGGCATCTGGCTCTACCCCACAGGATCTGCAAGATTGCAATGATGAGCTACAAGCTGAGCTGGAAGGCCTGCGGGCACAACTGCCTGAGAGTTGGCAGAGCCCCTCAGAGGACCTGGGCACCCATGGACAGAGGGTCTCTGGACGTGGCCCAGCAGGTACGAGCCTGGCCCTGGCTGTTGGGGCTCCATGGAAGCAGCTCGAGGCTGGATGTTTACATGACCCTTGAGACCAGAGGTGGTGCAGGAGTGTGGAGAGTTTTGCCATTTGTTATAAATGGCGAAGGTTATGATGATCTTGTGAACTCAAGGGAAATACATCTGCCTAGTGAAGCATCATAGGCAACCTTGTAGAAGAGCCTGGAATATGGAAGGCAACTTAGGGTAGCTGTAGGGTGGGCATGGGACAGTCCCCACTGAGGGGAAGTCCTGCCTGTATGCAGAGTCTACCTTCAGGCGCCCATACTCTCAGGTGAGGGAATTGGGGCCTTGATGGAACTTGTAAGGAGCCTCCCAGTTCTCTTGAATAATCTGTGTTCAGGTTAAGACCGGCTGCTGATTTCTATGGAACACTAGCTTTTATAATATGGTGTAACCCTTTTTGCTAGCACCTCATTCCTCACAGATGGGGCACAAGGAAGGGGTGCTGTCTTCAGGGTGATGAGATGAAGACAGGATGACTGATGGTATCCACATGTCAGATTGGAAGGTTTAGAAGGGACCCTGAGGTGCATAACATAACGGAATGTCCTCTCATTCACAGGCATTTTGTCTGTGGGTGATTCCACTCCAGTGAATATAGAAACGGAGATAATGATGGAGCAGGTGAAGGAACGTTACCAAGATCTCAAGATCCAGCTGGAGACCAAGGTCAGGGGACAAGGGCACCATGGGCTACACACTGGCAGCAATTGCTTCACTGAACCAATGTTACCACACACGGCTGCCCTGGCACCTGCATCTGCCTTGTAATGGGCCAGCTCAGAGAGGAAAGATTGTAGGAAAGAGTAAATAAAACTGATATTACCCCCCAGGCCCTCTGTGGGGGGAAGTAGGATGTAATAATAATGATGAATGACAGGGAAGGAAGGGATTTGTTTTGCTCTGAGTGTCACATGAGGATGTGCTAAAGATAGCTGTGTGATGGACAGCTTTTCCAACTTGTCTGCTATTGGGAATCACAGGGACAAGCTTTGTTCTAAGCCTAAATGACCTGGAATTTGCCCTCTATGGGGACTCCCTGGGCAGGATTTCTCAGGCTGAGTGTGTCCTCTTGGATGAACTTGTCCCCTGCTCTGTTATTAGGTAGTAGTGGATTTTAAGGACAGTTTCCCAGGACTTGCTGTCATGAATCCAATTCATTTGTCTGATTAGCAGTTGTGTCCTTGATCTCACTGAATGAATTAATTGGAAGCTTCTAGCATGGCTTTGCCCACCTATATCTGGATAGTATTCCTTCTGTCAGGTATTCCAAGGTGTTAAGAGCCACCCTGCTTGTCTTGTGAAGGCTCCTTAGATCTCTCAGTAGCTCTCATGCCCTCTGCCCTCTTCATGTCACCTGGCCAGATGCCCAGGTTGGCCTTGAGCCTTCTGACCGCACCTACTGGACCTGCTTTGGTGGGGGGTCACTGTGAAGTCATGGTGGATGACATATTGCATATGGCCAGTATGGGTCCTCAGGGAGTGTTACCATCATTTACATTGTTACCTCCTTCCACAGACCCTGGGGCCTAGTTAGGTCTAGGCCATTGTGCCTGGTAGCTTCATATTTCTGTTCTTACCAGTTAGGTCATATTTAGGACTTTCTGACTTGTGTGTCTCATGGCTCCCTCTTTAGGTAAATTACTACGAGATGGAAATTGAGGTCATGCAGAGAAACTTTCAGAAGGAGAGAAAGGAGATGGAGCAGGCTCACCAGCTTGAGGTTTGCACATTGGAAAGCCAGAAAGCAGACCTGGAAGCATTGTATACCAAGTCTCAGGAGGTCATCCTGGGCCTGCGGGAGCAGCTGCAGGATGCAACTCATGGCCCTGAGCCTGGGCAGACTGGGATGGAACAGTGCTGTGCGCAGGTGCTGTGTGGCCTGGCCCAGCAACTGAAGGAGGAGCTGCAGCTGAGGCACCAGAACCAACTACAGCAGATAAGGTCTGTTTGGGTTTGGAGCTCATGACTAGGGTTTCTTGCTAACAGTCAAAGTTTGAAATTAGATTTGGGTAAGCTCTTTAGGATTGCAGTGTCTTCTAGCAGGATGAGTTTTCTCTGAGTAAATGAATGAGGACTGAAAAAATTGGTTGTTGTATTAAAGATTTTTACTTTAAGGCAAAATACCCTTTTAACAGAATTTGGGACATGGAGTAGTTTTTTGTATAGAATTTTAACTCTGTTCTTTCTCTTCGGCCTCAGACTTGCCTAGTAGGCAAAGGCAGAATTTTCTCCATCATTTAGTATAGCATTCTGGTTTTCCAGGACATGGTGGAATAAGGAAAAAAAAAAAAGTCAAAAAGCCTCCCCAGAATGGAAAAGATAGTTAATTTGGACAGGTCAGAATCTTCAAAAAGGCTGAAATATTTGTACCCAGAAGGGAAAGGGGCTATTTGGAAAATCTGAGTGTGGTATTTTGGGTGTTAATGGTGGGAGTTACCTGAAAAATGCCACGTTCCCTCCCTGTCACATGAGCCTGTCTTGGTAGAGTTAGTACTTGTTTATTGAAGACATGATGCTGGTTACTGGGATACAGACCCATGGACAGCATTATCTCCCACAAGAAGATGACCCCTCCTATCACCTGGCCATTTTACGTCACCCCAGCAAGACCAGGACCTCCCCCATTGGCCAGGACTTTACAGAACGACTCAGGTGAGGGTTGTGCTGAGGCTAGTGATGTTCACCTGTTGACACTTAAGAAACATGGCCCTGTCACCACACTGTTACAGCAGGAAGTCAAGTGACCTTTGCAGGGAAATCATTCCTGACATAGATAAGGCAGGCACTCGTCTTAGTAGAAAGAAGTCAGGGTTACCTCAGTATGTGAGATGTGATAAAGAAGAATCGGCATTCCCTCTTCCCTCCCCTCCAAGATGATGCCCGTGTACCCACCTAGGCCACTGGGGACTCACAAAAAATGGACTGCTATTATCCTGGAGGATAAAGAAGTAGTTTTTTTTTTTTTTTTTTTTTGTGGGAGTGGGTGCTGGATTGAACTGAGGGGCACTCAATCACCGAGCCACATCCCCGGCTCTTTTTTGTATTTTATTTAGAGACAGGGTCTCATTGAGTTGCTGAGCGCCTTGCCATTGCTGAGGCTGGCTTTGAACTCGAGATCCTCCTGCCTCAGCCTCCCAAGCCACTGGGATTACAGCTGTGTGCCACCAGGCCTGGCAACAAGTAATTTTTAAGTCATGTGTTTTCCCAGAGCTCTGAATTATCTTTTTTTTTTCTTTGACCTCATTAGATAACTTTATTCACACAAATATCCCTTAATTTATAAAGCCTCAGCCTAAGTAAAATAAGTACACAAAAAAACTATCTTAAACCCAAGAATGTGAGATAAGGGACTCAACCCTCTTAGACCCGCCTTGGGACCCCCACGAGGTGGCTGAGGGACAGGTATAGGGAAGCCACCCTCCTCCTCAGTGTCCAGGATGCCCCTGCCCACCTGCCCAAGCCATCTTGGGCCTTGGAGTTCTCTGGCTCCTCACTCCTGGGGAGCGTATCCTGCTACTCAGCTGGGCTCCTCGTCACACCTCTGAATAAGGTAGAGCCATAGGCAGCCCCATGTCATTTTCTACCACCCTGCCTTGGCCAGAGTGGACAGTGTGCCTTGACAGGCTTGGTGTTCCTGTCCAGCCCTCATTCCACACCATAGTCTCAGGTGCCACAGGCCCCAGGCCAGCCGCTTAAGGGATTTTCCAGGGAAGTTTTAAATACAGATGAGTGTCAGCCATGTCACTAACACTCAAGACCTGCACTGTCTGAGGACACTCACTGCCATGAGGCACACATCCTCCGTCCAGTTTAGTAACTACTGGCCACACTTGACCTTTGAGCATGGGCAATGTGGCCAGTGTGACTACAGGATGGAATTTTACTTCTACATCACAGTAATTCCCTTTCATGTAAACCATCACATGTGGTGGGTGACTTCCATTGCTGGCGTCTATGTGTAGACCTAACCCCCAGGTGTGGAAGCCCTGGGCACAGGGACATAAAGAAGGATACGGAGAATCAGTCAGGAGAGAAGAGTTAAGCAGTTAGAACAGGCGTCCTAGTGGCCTTTCTTCCCTGAGAATAAGGGTCTGGGGTTCACCGTGGCAGAGCCCATGTTTTTGTGACTCATTATATTTCTGTAGGAAAGAGGCAGAAGATGTGCTGACCCAGAAACTGTCATGGCTGGAAGCCCAACATGTTGCCCGCTGTGAAAGGCTGTCCCTGCAGCATCAGAGCGAGAAGGACCGCCTGCTGCAGACGCACCTGTGGCGACTGAGGGAGCTGGTGGCACAACTGGACCTGGAGAAAGAGCAGCAGGGAGAGAGAGAGAAGGAGATCCTCACACGCTGTCAGAAGCAGCAGATGAAACTGCAGGCAGCGATGAGTGAGGAACAGGCACAGATTTGTAGATCGATGGCTCTGGAGAAGGAGAAATTGGAGCACACCTACAGGAAGCAAGTGGAAGGGCTTGCCCAGGAGGCAGAGGCACTGAGGGCCCTCTTGAACGATGGAACCACTGTGACGGGCAGTGAGCAGGGGGGTATACCTGGCCTCACATCCCTGTGCCTAGGTGGGGAGCAACCATTGGCTCAGTTGGACCTGAATACTGATGGAGAGATGAGGGAACTGGCCGGAGACACGCCTGGCCAGAGGCGAACTGAAGGCAGGGATTTACCCAGCCAGCCTCGCTGTGTGGACACCACACAGAGCCCAACCCCTGTTCTGGTATCCAGAGAGTCCTTGAAAAGCTTCAGCCTAGGAGAGAACTGTCAGGGTCCGCTCAGTGCTGGGGAGGTAGCTTCTGTTCCCTTGGAGAAGAGGTCATACATGCAGCCATGCGAAGGGAACAAGGGAGCCATTGCAGAGGAGCCAGTGCCTTCTGCCAGGGCCCCAATGGGTCTGGGCCAGGCTGATGCCCAGGAGCTTCCCGTATTGGCCACAGAGGGGATTGCCTGGTTGGCTCAGCCCCAGACATTGGAGCCATGGCACAGCCCAGCCACTTTGGAGGAGCAAGCCAGCAGCCTGAGCAGGGACCCAGCCCCTGAGAGTGGTCCTGGCCAGGTCTTTGAGGGGATGTCCAGGGGTGGTGACGATGCCCTGGAGACCTGGCTTGAGCACAGCCAGGAGGCTGCCCGTTGGGGGTCCTCCCTGTTACACTCCAAGCTCCCAGACCCACAGCAGCCTGGGCTGGAGTGTCTTACTGCCCTGGAGGAGACAGAGGCCAAAATGGCATTGGAGAAAGAGAAGAGTGATATGAGAAACAAACTTCTCCAGCTGGAAGATGTTGTCCGGGCTCTCGAGAAAGAAGCAGACTCAAGAGAGAATGACAGGTTTCATTTTTCCTATTCTTTTTTTTTTTTTTTTAATTGGTTGTTCAAAACATTACAAAGATTGCAGGATCACATTGGTTACACATCCACATTTTTACATAATGCCC